CACTTAATTAGCCAGATCTCAATCAAATATCCAAGTACCAATTGTGATGTCAATTTTGCAAGCGTTTAATACATAAAAACATTCGCATAGATTTCAGTCCATAATCCTAATTAATATCATTGAGATCACACACCAGAGTAAGACCGTGCGACTGTAACGAACAGTCAGTCATAAAAGTGCGCAGGTGAATAAGCACGGGGCTACGGCGGATATGATTCTGCGGATTACGCTTCTCCGTGACAAAACATTAAGTATCACTCAGAAGTGTTGTCATAGTATTCTCAATTTCTTGGACACGCTTTATTGAAGACTTTCAGTCATATTCACTGAAGCGAGACCGCCTTGTACGTGGTGAATTATGATATCACAATTGTTGGTTTTATTTTTGTATTTTGGAGGATTTTATTACTAATGAGATTTGTTATCCCGTGATTTGTAATGTTTTGGGTAATTATGGGGTAACAAAATTACAATTTAGTCATTTTAATTCCAGATTCTAACTTGGGAAAATTTCAACAATAAAAACTTTTGATAAACAGAGGGAAAATTTCACCAAAACTACGAAAAATAAAATCACTATTTTGAAAATTTCATGTCAAATTCAAATATTCAAAAATAATTTGTTGTCCTACTAGCTGATTAAATCCAATCAGCATCTTTCGTGGCTTGCTTTTTATTTTCAGTTGTCGCTTTGAGAATTTGCAGGATAGATACACATATTGGTTCTGCGCTGATGAAAAACCATGTGTAAGGTGTACTATACTTTTTATCATCGCCTATTCTCGTTTTTGCTCTTCAAACAAAGTACATTACAAAAAGCAACTGCTATCTATCAATTGTAATAAGCTACTTATATTGTTTTGTAAACGCTGGGATCTCTCAGATAGGATGAGGTGTTGGCCAGAGGCCAGAGGCCAGAGCATTGAATTTGGACCATGTGCGTGTAATCTGCGATGCCTATAAAATTGAGTGTTTTACCCAATTTTTAAAGTATTGAAGAAAATATTGAAACTTAGCGATTCCCACCCTGTTTTAGGTATTCCTGTTTACAGCTCGTTTTAAAAATAAAATAAAATTGATATTATTGTAAATATACCTATGGGAAAACTCATGTACACGACCGCGGTATCACGATACCACTGGTACAACTCTCACCACGTTTTTTGTTAATTGTTGGTTTGAATTTAATGTAATCGGTTAAATAATGGTTGAAAACCACGAGATATTCAAGCCACAATAAGTCGTGATCGTCTCGAGTAAAGACAAATGTGACTCACACCACGAATAGTTTTCCTAGTTTTAATTTAGACTAGAGAGCTTGGAATATTATTAACAATACCATTAGACGCTTTACAATTTATATTTTGTTATGATGCTTTGCTTCTTTTTTTAAATTCTATGACTTTACTGCGACCATATATTTTAATATTTAGTTGTACTTGATTTAAAGTACACGACTAAAATAAACATGATGCTTATATGACTGTACAACAACCAGCCCTCTGTGAAATAGACCATGCAGTAAAGGCCTATTGGAGACAGCGCTTTTCTAATTGAAGTGTGGGCCTGCCTATCAAAGAAATAGAGGGAGATAAGACAGTTTAATATGACAGTGGTTTTTAACTTTTTTTTTTGCGAGCGACCAAAATTTACAATTTTAAGGGATTCAGTAGCAAATAATACTGTATATGTATTCCCGTAATCATGATAGCCTTAAAAGAGAAGCACAATGCCGTTAAGGCGCCATCGAGTCTACTTCATGATTTACATTTCTGGTAATCATACGTTGCCCTACAAGACGAAATAGTGGAATAATAAACTAAAGGTTGTGGCACAATAGATTACCCTTTGTTACCATACTAGTAATTATTTAAATTCATTTCCTTGGCTTTAATCTCGAACAGACCAGGGCATGGAATTAGTGTTAGAGTCCTGGTGCTCAGAAAGAAGTGAATAGGTCAGTTGTGTACTATTAAAAATGCTCAACTATTTTACTGATATTCGTCTGTAATTGCATCATTTTACTATTGGTCGGCCAACAAAATATATCAAGAACAGTTTTAAGGAATGATAACATATTTTCTGCCAGCAAGGCTCTGGGCATAAACGAATCTCAACTGACCCTAATACAGTTTGATGATAATAATTACAACAAATCGCCATCCAATGTAGATATGATAATAAATTGGTGCTGTGTAAATATCAACATATTATACAAATATCAAAATACTGTGATATACTATTTATTTTTAAAACTTTTCACAGTAGTATTCATTTGACGTAATAGTTATCTATTGTGAAACCACAATAGGCTTTGTAAACTTCATTATGTTGTACGCAAGACATGGTATTTGATGAAAAGTATATTTTATTCTTCGGGAATAAATAATTATTATTGAGAGAGGGAATATGTCATTCGCGAGTCTTTTCGCACCAATCAAATTTTAAGGCTCCCTTTGACAACCTGCTTACTCTAACAAAATATGCAAGTTAGGAGCATCATTGAATAAAGGCATAATTGTGACTGCTTTTCTCCATTTATGATACATAGGTCTTTTTATTATCAGCATAACAGACGATGAAATAATTAATAAAAACTGATTAGAGAATCAGGAGAGCAAACAAAACCTCAAGTAACGTTCATAGCGTACAGAATAAAAGTTAGAATGTGTTGCCACGCGCGCACACACATATGGGTGATTAGATCACAGCAAAACAAATTATTTCTTTTATGAATCTTCTGAATTTTTTTTTCTATTTGTAGCTTCGTATTGCTTTATTTCAAACTCATCAGACCAACATTTCGACCGAATTCACTTACGCTGATTCCGGGAATGCAAAATATCTCCCAATCCAGTTCATTCACTACTGTAAAACTCATTAATTTATTCCTAATTCCTAACAGTATAAGTGTTGCGATAAAACTAGTATAACCATGACAATAGCATAATTTAATTAAATTAGGGATTTCAGTTATAGAACCTACTTTCGCTATCCAAATTAACCCGTGCAAATCTTAGGAAATACATGAGTGATCCTGAATAGTCAGTCATGAAAACTGAAAACAACTAATTGTGATGAATATTTCTTTTTGAAATCAAAACCATGTTCAAGATTAAATTCAAACTTGCTATTCAGAAATACAGGGCCAATTTAGAAAAAAGTACTTTTTTGATAATAAATAATAGCAATTTTTTACCATTAAATTGTTTATAATACTTTGTATTTAAATTTGATAACTCCGATTTTCTATGATAACTAATTGCGGATTCATCACAAATGAATTTTTTCATAATCTAAGACTTATTAGCTGCCTTATTTTCAAACGCTCATTTGCTTCCGAATTAATGAGTCTATGTAGCCTCAAATTCGAAGCAAGAAAGCTTCAATATTATGTGTGACTTTACATTTTTATATTCATACTTTTTCATCCGTAAAAGGGATTTCCTCAATAATTAATTAGATAATTAATAAGATAGAAGTGCAACTCTGTCGCTATTGAAACATAATCACACTGGGTGTACGGTAAATGAATTTCATTCAATCTTGCTCCATATTGGATAATAAATGGCATGACTCTTCCAACGATAAGATTACTGAAATTTTGTAACGGTTTCAAATCCTTGCGAGTCTAGTAGAAAATTAACTCAGATTACTCTAGTCTGATAAATCAATTCAAAATTTTTTAAATATGATGTTTGTTTTAATGAAACAAAAAAAACTGTGACTAAAAATTTGTGTTTGTTTTGTGGGTTGGAAATTACATTTCCTTACTATCTGACCCCAAAACGAATAATAAAATCTTGCTTCAAAATTTTGTCATGATCTCTTTTTTTTTTCTCGTACTATTCCTACTATAAGAAGGAGTTTCTTGAAAAACATATTTATGTGCATGTATAGATGTTTCTGGCCATGAAACACAAGTTTAAACATTCTACTCTGTATTTTTTATAATTTATCATCATTTATTATTTTTAACGCTCAATGCCATAAAAATTAGTTGATATATATGTCCATCAGACCGTTACTGACAAAATAAATGTTTATATAATTTTTCGTCTTACGAAAACTGTAAATATTTGCAAACAGATTAATATGAAAAATATGGGCTATTTAGAACCGTCAGCAAAGTCGATCTTAATATTGACAATGCCAAAAAACAAACAAATATAGGCTTTCATAGCAATTTTTAAATCAGGGATATTTATTTATTCAAGGAACAAGATGATATGAGTAGGAATAAGGCGATGTTCAATTTCCAGTCTTAGTTATTACTTATCGATTTTAATCGGTAAGTATGTTGATAAGTATTAGTCTGTCTGTATGTCTGTATGTCTGTATGTCTGCTAGATGCACGCAATATCTCACGAAAGCGAGATTGAATCTGCTCCAGATTTTGCATGTGCATTCATCTTATCTCGGACCAGTAGCCTATTGATTTTGGGCGAATAATGTCGTATAATCAGCGAATAATTAATTAATTAGTGATGGGACCCACGGTGTCACTATGGAGTAAGAGCGCTGTTTTGGGGCACCCCCTAACTTTCGATCGATAAGTCTTCGGTCTCTGACCGATATTCTCGTGTATTTGATTGGTGAGATGGGGAAAGGTCGATCGATAATCGGGATTTTTCTGTATCATAGCATTTTTTCGTTGCTTGGAACACTTTTTAGACCCTCAAGAGTAAGACTATTGAAAACCCACATTTTCCGGTTGCTGTTACAGTCAAACTTGACAATAAGAAATTCAGAACTTCAGAACAAAATTTTTTTTTTTTTGCAGTTTCTACACCGACAAAAAATTTACATTTTATTCGCTTGTTTTAGATAGTTTGCTGAATTGGATTTTCCATTATTTAGCCATATTTGAATTTTAAAAATGTTTCAGCCTCGACTCATCATGTGATCATTATTTATTAACTCAAAAAGTCGATAACAAAATAATTGAAAAATTGGAACAAATAAATAAATAAAAATATTTTTGTATGTTTGTGTTTCAGGCTTTACAGAAAAGTGATCAAACTCGAAGCTCATATCGATGAGTTCATGGACATCATTTGCCCTCAATACCCGGAAGGGAAAGCGGAAGATGAGATGGAACTCTTCTACCTTTACCAGGTCACCGATAAGAAGGCGTACGATGTTTGTGCCATAGAAGGTGAGAGTTGATAAGGTTATTATGGGATGCGATGTAAACCCAAGTCATAGTCAAGTTTATTTTTTTCATTCAGTGAAAAATAACACACGAATTTAAAAAAATAAATAAAATCAAACATATCTTTCTATCGGGGAAGGGAACCTGCGAGGAACCAAAACTGGTTATCGAGCAGCCAAATCCAAGGTTCGATATCTAATTAAATTTGTAAGGTCGGAAATTAACTAGATATTGTTGCTGAGTATGGCTTTGGTAGCTGAACCACCAACAACATCCACTCAAAGGGTATTTGAGACGATGTTTTTGAATTTCGTTTTTGTTTTGGGAAAATAATATCACCATTTTAACTATGTGAACAATCGCTTTCATTTTTTTTATTAAAAATAGCTGTGAACTATCCAAGAAAAGAAATACGTTTTACACTCATTCGTTCGTTTTTTGAGCCAGGAACCGCCGTTTAACCACAAATTCGTTACAGTTGCGCTGATATGCAAACTTTAAGTGGTCGATTTAAACGAAAAATAAACTCTTATGCCCGTGTTTGTAATATCAAGATTTTATCACGTGTTAACATTAAAAATACTCAGCGACGGATCAAATCTATTTAGCTATAGACATAGCCTCTGGTTGCTAATATCGTGTTTTCCTGAATATAAGACCCAACCTGAAGCAGGTTCCCTTCCCCGATAGAAAGATATGTTTAATTTTATTTATTTTTTCTTAAATTCTTGTATGTTATTTTTGACTGAATGGAAATAATAAAATTGACAATAACTATGACTTAGATACCCCATAATAATTGGCCTGTGGTTACTAACATCGTGTTTCCCCGAATATAAGACCTAACCTGAAGAGAAGACCTAATCTGAATTTCAAAAATTTTAATATAAGCTCCCCCCTGAAAATAAAATCTAGTCAATAGCGCGAATTTTTTGTTTTGTTTTGACCTAGACTAGTCGATGGTAAGAAATCTCCCCTACACGTTTTAAATGATTGGTCATTTTGAAATAACCTATGTTTAGTATTTTTTTTAAATAAAAACGTGTTAATTATCCAATCGAGTAAATGGATATCGGTTTTCATGTTTTGTATATAAGAAAATCCCGTAATTCTCCACTTCACTTTGTAATTTTGATTTTGAGAAATGAAGATAAAAGACATCCCCACAAAATAGTAGTATTATTCGAAAGAAACAGGGTCTTATTTCCGAGGAATGGCGGTATGTGTCTATTCATGGTAGATAGACAACATGCTCCTCACTTCTTCAATTGTGCGTAAACGTACAGTTGCAGAATTTAATGATTTTGGTCCGTTTAATTTCTCTTTTAAAAAATTTGGTTTTACTTATTCATTTTTTTTTAATTTCAGCAAAAAAGAACCCAATACTATCATGTGATTCTCCGGTTTGTCCGACGAAACTCACAATTAAGTTTCAGAAAATCAGTCCGTACCCGATAGGATTCACTTTTCAAGAAGGAAAGACGTATTATTACATTGGTAAGTTGGTTTTACCATATAGCTCTACAATATTTGCCACGTTTTCACGCGTTTTATCCCAAGAGGGGCTACTTCAATTTGGAATGACTGAGATCTCGACGGTTCGGCCTTTGCCAAGTCAATTTATTACATCCTGGGTCAGGTGGCAGGCATGTAGTTTGAACCCGATACCACAGGGTCATCGCGCTCACTTGTATTATCATTAGCAATATTGAATTCAATTTTTGTTTCTATTTAAAACCCAATATAGAGATTTCTCAAATATGGCTGACCCCCCCCCCCCCCCCCCCCCCCCCCTAATCCACAGTCGGAATAACAGTGAGCGTTATCGAACAACCTCTTTTACGTTTACCACAATCCCACACAAGCCATATAAAATTTGAAATATGAAGAAAGTCGAAAAAACGCGATTGAAACAAACAATGAAATTTGAGTACCAGAATCATTCTGATTCTAAGCATTGTCTTGACGCAAGTGTTATTAACGTAAATTGTTGTTTTGCTTTTCTGACTTCACTTCCATCCATATTCCTCCTTATCAAAATATACGCCTGTACGCTGTAACTGTATTAAAAAGTTTCCGAATGCCTATCAGCTTTTTTTTAATAATACAAATATTTTGAAATATCGATGTAAAATGTATAACTGTGCTCATTATAAAACAAGAACAAAATCGATAATGATATATCTATAACGCACAAATAAACAAAATTAATTTACAGGAGTTCCAAAGGGTTACGACCACAAAAAGAAGCATCACAACCACCCTTGCAACAACTTGATAAGACTCGAAGTTAAAGTGACAAAAAAGAAAACTAATTTGATTATCCCAGACCTTAAAACTGTATTCAAGGAGTCGACTACTCTGAGGACAACGACTACAGTCAAGACTACTACTTTATCTAGAGTTTTAACGACAAGGAAATCAGTTGCTCGTACGCCAAGTAAGTGTGAAAATAGTTATATGTTTGGGTCAAAATTGGTAAATACTAACCCGTAAAATTATAAATTGAAACCGTAGCCAATTTTATAAGTAAATTCAAAATGTGTAAACGATATAATGCTTACCCAAAGTTAACCTTTTTTTCGATAATCCCGTGTTAGATTGGGACTTTAATTCACTGATGTTTCGATTAAATAAATCATTATCCGATTTCGATAGCGGTAATAGATTTTTGGTTGTTTTGGTTGGCTTTAGAAACTGATTTTAGCAAGAAAGACGTGATTGTGCTGAATAAAGTATGATGTGGCAATATCGGTTCGATGGCTTCACGACTCTTTAGCGCCACTACATGCACCACTACAAAACGTCTGACAAAGTGAATTTTCCTTTTTAGGTAGTGGCCGACAATCAGACGGAGGTGGCAACGCTGCATTACGTATTCATTACGTAACACTGATGACATCATTACTAGCACTTCTAACGCTTTACATCAATATGTGACTCTGATAGAAAAACTTTTGGGACATGGAGAGCCCTAGAAAAGATCTGGCGGAGATATACGCCTTGATGATGATAGCCACGACAATCACGCGAAATCATTACAGATTGGAGTGACAGAACCACAATGAGCATGCACGCTGCTAAAGCAATACAAACATTCCCGGATGCTGGAATTGCATATACTTTGGTGTACTCACGGTCTCTTTATAATTAAGGGATTGCTATAAGTTCTCATCACCTGATTTGCTGCTTGCCTAAAGACTTGGAATTGGCGTTCTCTCTAAAGGCAAATTTACAAATGAGGACGGCCAGATGCTCCTCATCTTTTCATTTTGAGAGGGTGTTTCCAAATTGAGGCCATGGTGTAATTGTTTTTTGATAAATCTGAAAAATAACATTTTAACCCTATGAACCGGCAAATTCTGATAATATATTTTTGATTTTTTTTTTATGTACAATAAGCAGGCTAATAATACCTTGATATAGTAAATAGCATTATGAATTTTAAGAATATCTCAACAAACATATTTTTGCCCAAAATATCCCGTCATGTTGAATACCCCTCACAAAGCGGAAAAAGTCGTTCAAATGGCGAACAACCAGCTTTAATATGACAAAAATGCTTTATGTATATTTTGACCTAAAAGACTTTGATATTTTACTCAAAAATTTGAAATTTGTTTCGAAACCAAGGTGTTATTTTTGTTATAGACGTCATATCATGATGACGTATATTCAGCATCACAAAAATTTATATATATATGTTGTAACAATTTGGCGATTTGGTTTACATCAAAATTTGAAAATTTTCTCAATTTTTATATCTTTGAATAAATGACTTTGTTTTACTTAAACTATAGTTTATGAGCGTCGTGCACCTTCAGACAAAATTCGACATTTCGTTACCGACTTACTGGCCTACAATTTCAGCCAAGGTGAACCAATCAATTCTAGCCTAATTTTATTTTCGTTCATTTTTTATTTGCTTCAAAACCAGTATACAGTTGTTGAAAAAGTTCCATTGTAACTTTACATGTTAATATATCAAATTTGGCATATTCCATTCACTGAAACGTGTCACATATTTGCCCACTGATTTGTAATAAGCTACTATGGTTGGAACCATTGAAACGTTTCTGTATGGCTCGGGTAGATAGGGGAAATATTTTTGAATATTACATTTTAGAAAATGATTGCTTTTGCTTCATCCTTGGTCCGTAGGCGATGGAACACAATCAAATCAACTAGAATAATTCAAACCAAGTATGTGGCTATGTGGAGTTACTGTAAAAAACGAGTAACCTTTTATGATTTTTTTCAACTTCAATCACTGTGTTTGATCGCTAATTTTTTTTATCATTTTATCGTTTTATTGAAACTTTTTTACATATGTTTTTTTCCATTTTATTTTATTAATTGCGCAAAAGTAGAACATATGGCACTTATTTAGGTTAATGGTTTTATAGCACTACGTTAAGAGACAAGTACGATTTCCGAACCGGTTGGGTAGTCTTTCGACTAGACTGAATAATAGAAGCCCCTACTCCAAACCCAAAACTTATTTTCCGAAACTCGCTTTGGTTTAAATCAAGCAATCCAAAATCTAAATCTCCCTAACGGCGGAATTTATAGGAATAATGTGAAAAGGCTGAATTTTTGATCATTTGCTGCTGCTTATCTAAATCAGAAAACTGGTCAGCTTGAATTGGCTCCCTATTTTGCTAGGAATATTACTTTTGTAAGTTTTTTATTTGAGTGCAAACCTAAATTAAAAACCAGATCAGATTGAAAACTGCAGTTATTGCACAGATCACATTGAAATAAAAAAAAGAGCATAGAAAGAAAGAAAAAAAACACAAAAAGGCACTCATGGTTACAGATACGAGCGTATAGCACTAATTAAATGTAAACTTTCTGCATGATTAGAATTGGAAGAAAATATCATTTTAAGAAATGAAACTAACTCGATTTGTAAATCTATAAAGGTGCTTAAAAACAGGCAATTATCCAAGGTATAGGGATTGTTAATTTGTTCACTGCAGTGTGAAAATAGCAGCTAAAATTTTAATTCAATTTCAATTTTTTTTCTGTTTTGTTTTTGTTGAAGTTTTTTTTTCTTGGTTTTATATAAATAATAAAGAACAAATAAAAAACTTTTGTGTTCATGATATTTGAAATTAGTCGTCCGCAGTCTAGAAATATTCGAATGTGACACTTTTTGAATAAGTTCGTATCTTGAGGATGTCTTACTTTTTCTTTGTGATCCTTCGACGGCGATATTTACCATAGAAGCTAAACGTAAAAAAATTCGAACTTGTGGAAAAATCTACCACCGGGTATGCAGTAGAGGCTTAGATTATATCTAGCGTTTTAGGGAGTTATGTAGGCCATTTGGATGTATGCAAAGCGATTCATGCTATTACTTTTTAGGCTACTCAGTAAGTGACGTATTAGTACATACATAGTCTGGAATGAGGGAACCCGTTGATAATAAGTTAGATAGAAAATATTGAATCCCCCACTTATACGGAACAACAATTAGTAAATTGATCAATCGTATTTAAGTGTCACGTCACAAAAGGTACGCTGGTAACAGGGCAAAAGATTACTTTCAAATGGAGGTTGGTATTTGGTAATCTTCAAATAAAAAACTCACTTGAGGCGTTTGTCGTCGTAATAAAACCAACGTTTATGTCACATCATTCAAAATCGAACTTTTCTAAAAATTCGTCATAAGCTGATTTTGATATACTGGGTTTGCCAGTCGGTCTAATATCATGCTTGCATAATCACGCTATAATGAAAGCGTTCACCTTATTGACTGTTGTTACAATATTCAAAGAGCAAGCCTTGGCAAAGTAGACGACAAACGACACATCTGGTACCGATATCTATTACAAGAAGACGAATTATCTGCAAAGACTCGAACTTGACTGAAATATGTTGATTTACATTCTTTCAACGCTGTGTATCATTACCAGTGTTTGTAGCGGCTTCGCTAAAAATATGTTGGCGCTGGTGGCATGGGATTTGGAAATGGGCTTGGTTGTCCAATAGTCTTCATTTTCTGTAGTAGTTTAAAATCATCGAGTAAAACGTCAAATACAGATTCGTTATTATTGTTTTAATATTGTTTTATTTCTAAATTGTAAGCAGATTCCTTTTTCTTCATCAGCAACAATAAGTCACGAAAAAAAAACTGCAATTGCACCCACCACTAAAAAAAAATACCAAACAACGAAAACCAATTATATATTCAGTACTTCCGTAGTGTGGCATAATTTTATTCCAACTTTCCATATTTTAGTTCTATTACGAGTTCGTGGACTGTCTGTGTTAACCAAGTGAATATCCCCCTCGCCCATAGGCTCCAGTTTCTTTAAACAATTTATTGAAAAGGTAGGCTAACAAAATTAGTTACCTCCATATTGGTACACACATTTCTGAAGCGCCAAAAATGCTATATATATTTGCACGCCGCTTCGGGTTATCTGGGCGCAAAATATAAGTTCATAGGGACAAAAAGCAATTGATAAGAAGTTCAATTAGCCTTAGGTGATAAGGAAACATATAGCGCTTCAAAATTATAGACAAATAATCTGAAAATAACATCGCATGTAGCTTAAAAGCGAATATTTAAGTTGCAATACTTCAGTGCAGAATGATTATACATTATACAGTTTAATATCATCAAACAACGCAGGAGAGTGTGTAAAGAAAACTTGTCTTACAATACTGTAATACATTTGTATGTAATTAGGCACAGTGTGAACATTTCGGACTTTTATTTTCTTATAAATATAAAAGATATCATTCATAGAAATTAGTATGGAAAACTGTAATTCATTCGTGAATTTAGGGTTGTAGGAAGTGGGTATGGAGCAAATCGATAATACTTTATAAAAAAGAAAGCTATTTTTCACTATTTTAATATTATATTACTAAGACAGTAATTCCCAAATACATGGATAAGAAGGCCGAAACGAAGTAGTACAAAGTCTTTTGCAGTACCGGTAGTCTGACCACCAAATAACTGAGATGTGATCACGGAACCACAGCAAACATATTGAATTAAAAATATACTTGCTATTTTGTAGAAAGAGATTAGGCTGTCCTTATTTATCTTTATAATACTTTATCGTATAAGCATTCTTGTGGCAACAGACACAAATGAGTCCCAAGTAGGAAGTAAACAAAGAGAAAGGAGCTGCAGTTCAATATACAATGTCCTATTACCCTCTGTTATTACTTATCGATCTTAAGATCGGTAAGTATATTGATAGGTATTTGTCTGTCTGTGTGTCTGTTAGATGCACGCGATATCTCACGAAAGCGAGATTGAATCTGCTCCAGATTTTGGCGAATTATGTCGTATAATTAGCGAGTTATCAATCAATTATTGATATAGTGATCTAGATTTTTGTAAAGCGAGAGAATTTTGAAACCCGCCGAGTGTGTGTGTGCGATGCGCAGTGCGCAAGTTACAAGAGCGGATGAATCGAAACTGCAGTTTCTGTTTTGGGGGATCCCCTAACTATCGATCGATAAGTCTTCGGTTTCCAACCGATATTCTCGTTTTAATTGTTATTATTATAATTTCAACTCCCAGTGGAATGTAAGTAAAAATTGCATCTGCCCCTTACCAGTATGGGCAGGATTTCCATTACCATCGTTATAACCACCTTGTCTGGTAACGAAAACCTGGCAGAAGTATGTGTATAGGTATTTGTCTGTTTGTCTGTCTCTATGTCTGTCTGTCTGTTTGTCTGTCTGTTAGATGAACGCGATATCTCACGAAAGAGAAATTGGATCTGCTGCAGATATCGCATGTGCATTCATCATATCTCGTATCAGAAGCCTATTAATTTTGGACGAATTATGTCGTATAATTAGCGAGTTATCAATTAATTAGTGATGGGACACAAGGTGTCACTATGAATTAAGAGCGCTATTTTAGGGGATCCCCTAACTTTCAATCGATAAGTCTTCGGTCTCTAACCGATAATATTACTTTTATTAATTAATTAGTGATGGGACACGCGGTGTAGCTATTGAGTCAGAGCGAAGGATATACGCCGCTAGATCGATAAGTCGGCGGTCTCTGAACGTTATCACGTGTTATATATTATTGTGTTATATTGTAATACCGCTAGGTGACACTGTTAACCCGTATTGTATTTGACCTCGTATATCCGAGGTTGTCATTGCTTTTCTATCTTTCCACGTGTTAAGTGTTACTGATTATTTAGTTTGCTGTTGCTATGGTGTCTTTATTTGAAAATGTTCGACTCTTACAATAAAGTAGTGTTGTAATGAAAACTCGGTGCTTGATATAAGGATCTTAAGGCTGAATACACTAAAGATACTATTTGTCATGATAAAAAAATGGCAATTGCATCTCCCCATTTTCACGAACCCTCTGAAAACAATCCCTGACAAATATGAGTTGTTGTGACTTCACGTAGGATTACAACCAGTTTAATTAACGTGATGTAATTTGAAAGCAAAATGTCAAAGCTTCATTGAAAAACAAAAACAATTCACAATAAGTTCACGTAGCCTCGGGTGTAAAAAGACATACAGCTACAAAAGTATGAACAAATTGGAATCGTATTAGTTTTAAAGACGCATTTATAAATTGCACGATTTATAGCATAATGTATATGTAATATATACGTATACAGCTTGGTATTTTTCAGCATAGTCAGAATATAGTCAGTTATGATAATCTACTTTAAGACACTGAGATAATTTTAATAAAATGACTTAACGATATATTTCATTAGTAATTATAATATCTTTAAGGGGAGTAGCATGGAAAGTGATATTATATACAGAAATGTAGAATAGCTGGAAATAAAAATTAAGCACATTAGTAATATCGAATTGGGAAATAACGCATTCACGTAATTTAATGTATATCCCAGTTACCAGTAACTCGAAACAAATCATGACTTAGCAAATTTACGAGTTTTTTTAACGGTTCCCAACGCGAGCAAGATATTTTCCCACCTGCTTATATTACTTAATAAGACTCTGGGATAATTTTATTAAAACGACTAACGGGGATATATTTTATTCCCAATTATAATAATTTTAGGGGAAGTAGCATGAAAAGATATTATATACAGAAATGTAGGATAGCTAGAAATGAATATGAAGCAAATAAGTAATACTGAATTAAGAATAAACGTCAATGGGGGGAGTTCATGTAATTAATTCAGTTACCAGTAACACGAAACAAATTTATGTCTTAGCAAATTTTCCGAGATTTTTTAACGGTTCCCAACGCGAGCAAGATATTTTCCCACCTGTCAATATATTACTTAATAATGAATCCAAGTTTACTAGTTTTCTATAATGACCAATTTCTTCTCTACATCTGGTCTAATGCTGCCTCGTAGATGTTATGCTACAATGCAATGATAATGGGCTCGTTGAATAAAAAGTACAATTTTTGGTACTTCCGAAGTATGCAAACCAAGATGGTGGACACCTGAACGTATTATGTGTACTAGGCTAGGGTTAGGTCATAAATTTTTCTATTTTTTTCTCATTTTAGTTTTATTACGAGTCCGGGGACTAGCCAAGTGACTCTCGCAGTATTTGTACCTGAAATATGGCCTAACATACATACTACGTTCCGGTGTCCGCCATCTTGATTCACATACCTGGGATAAACCAATTTTTAATGCAACCATATATACATTCGGATTTATACATAAGCCCCATCTTTAAAATGATAAATTATAACGACGCACGCAAATACGAGTGAGTATTTCAGCGTGAAAATCAATCAAATTTCGCTTGAAATATTAGAAACGGTGGGAATGAAGAAATTTTTTTTTTTCTGCGCTTATCAGTGGTTCGTTCTGCCCTCACAAGAACAAATATTGCATTTGTTATTCTATCTCAGTGGTTCTTAAACGACGAGGCGCGCCCCGCTAGGGGGCGTAGACAATTTATTGAGAGGGCGTCAGCTAATTAAAATAAAACTATTTGTTCAAGTTGATCTTACCCGTTCTAGTTTGGATATTTACATTTCTTTATTTTGAATATTCACGTTCCATCCACGTATTTTCAACATGTTTTTTGAATAAAACATACTTTTGCTATACTATCTGTTATTTTTTGCTTATTGTTAGCTAGTTATTTTTGAGGTGGGGCGCGAGACTTGTCAAATTCTAAAATAGGGGCGCGGCTTGAGAAGTATATAACTAGTACATGTCTGATGCTGGTCGAAATTATTTATTAAATAAAAATTTAAACTTTTTAAACTAATTTAATACTTTTATTTTATATTAGTTCACAACATTGATATTTCAATTCTCCGTGTCACGTAATCGAAAATTGCATTTGCCCTTTACAAGTATGAGTTGGATTTCTATCATCGTTGTTATAATCATCTCGTTTGGTAACGGAAACATGGCAGAAAAATTGGATTGTCAGTTTAAACGAGGATGTATCGCTAATGGTTGTGATCCATTGCCTCTCTGGAACAAACCAGGTTCCAATGTGAAAGAATATTTGAAAAGGAAAGAATTTCCTATAACTTGTGACATGAAGAATAAAGCATCAAACGATGTTTTAAAACTTTATGCTGATAACGCTGACAATCGACAAGAAATGAAAGAATTGAAACAAGGTAATTTATCAACGAAAATTTAATAACTTCTAATGATGTATGGCGGCGTCGGGTGTACTTCTACGTCGACAACAAAACTGCAAGGAAGCAATATAACTTGAAGATTGAGAAAAAAAAAACAAGAAATAGTGCTCTTAAAACCTTGCCTCGGGTAATAGGCATATCAATTAAGCGTAGTATTCTATAAACATGAGGTTTCAAATATGCTAAGAGTCAAAATACTATTTTAAAGCGCATATTGAAGGTTTATAGATGTTTTCATTTGTGCATAATATATGAGACGACTTTGATTGAATTTTTAAACAAGCGCTGCCCTGAGAATATAAAGTTGTTGATATTACAAATCAATACTTTTATTATATCGATGGTCACATCTGCTTCCAGATCACAGTTATGGAAATAAATTTATAAAAAAAATAACAAATTTATGCATGTGAAAATTATTAATTGCCCCAAAATGCAAAATGAAAACTTGGATTTCTTACGGGATACAATGAAAGAACAAATTATTTTTGTTTATTGATATAACAACCCATATTACTCGGCTATCAGACGATCGTGTAAAGGATCCCACATTCATAGTCTATGCAAGAAAATACGTCGCTGCCGTAGTGTGTGAACCAAGATAGCGGACACCGGAACATAGTATGTGTACCAGGTTGGGGTTAGGCCATAATTTTGTTCCAATTTTCCTTATTTTAGTTCTATTACGAGTTCGGGGACTAGCCAAGTGACTCCCGTAGTATTTGTACCAAAAATTATGACCTAACTCTAACCTGGTACACATACTATGTTCCGGTGTCCGCCTTCTTGGTTCACATACTACGGGAGTATCAAAAATAAACCTTAAAGCAAACCTTCAAGCACAGAAACAAAACGGGGAATGGGCTTTACAAAAATGGAAAAATGAAGAACAAAATATTTTTAAACCCGTATCAAAAACTTTGGAGAATTCTGAGAACAAATTTTCATTTTATAACTTCAATTTATATTATATCCTGTATTAAGAACTTGATGAACTTCGAAAATTGAATGAGAAGCAGAGAAAAGAAATCAAGTTGATTAAAAGTCAAAAGACTTCTTCAAACAATCAAGGTGACAAACGTTCATTTGCGTGAGCAATGCTATGGATAGATTATCACAATGATAGCATATTGACATATTCGGAATTTTCACTATGTTTCGTACTACAGAACTGGGTAGTCGCGAAGAAGGGGAACCAGGATGGCGGACACCGAACGTAGTATGTGTACCTGGTTAGGGTTGGGTCCTAATTTCAGGTACAAATACTACGGGAGTCACTTGGCTAGTCCCCGAACTCGTAATAGAACTAAAATAAAGAATTTTTTAATAAAATTATGGCCTGATCCTAACCTGGTACACATACTACGTTCCGGTGTCCGCCATCTTGATTCACATACTTTGGTAGTACCCAATTGCGTGAGCAAACTATGGAGAAATTGTCACAGAGACAGAACACAAATATTGACGTATCCCAAAATTTTCACTAACCATTCATTTTACAGGCCTGCACATACTAAAACTAGAAGTTGCAGAGTTGAAAAAGATGCTTGAGAGTCCGAAGACTTCTTCAAACGATCAAGGTGACAAATATTCACAATATTCAAATTTGAAAATTACCGTGTTTTCTTGTAAATAGGACCTACCCTGAAAATAAGACCTAGCATGAATTTTTAAAATGATTTCAATATAAGCCCTCTGCTTAACTCTTTGAACCCTGAAAGCCGCTATAGCGGCTTTCCCTGAGGAAGTCTTCTGACGCTGAAAGCCGCTTTAGCGGCTTTCGCATCCCATAAGAGGTATGCAACTTTGAAACCTCATATCTCGCGAACCATTTACTATATTTAGACAAGTTTTACATCGTGTGAAAGATAATCTACAGGACTAAGTACAATTTTAAAATTGAGATGAAATATTGTGATCATCTTATGAAAATTGGCAAAATTAAAAAGCATAAAAAACTTCTGAAAATTGCTCAGATCTAATTGACAAAACTTCAATTTGTTTTTGATTAAACCTAGTACATTATCGACAAAATTTGTAGAATTTGAAGATAGCTCTCCAGTGATACCATTAGATTGAACTTATGTTGCACCATTCAAATTTTAGAAGTATTTTTATTCGTGATTTTGTTTGTCGCAATATCGAGGCGACGTCAAGGTGACGTAAATAACGACATACCACATTTACGCCGTTACGCAGCGACGTTAAGTAATTACGTTGGCACGTAGCACGTTTACGTTTCATACGAGAAACTCTTTTCCTCGCATGCTCCTAACGTCATTTACTTAAGTTCGTACTCGTGAAGCGACTAACGACTTGTAAACGATACACGGGGAAATTTACGGATTACATCCAGCCTCAAAATCGATTTGACTAAAACACACAATACGCAGTGTTATTGCCGTTTTAATTGAATAAATATATGAAAAATACGAATAGCAAAAATAAGGATTTCTAAAAACGGAATGATGGAACATATCGATGGATGCATTGTTTAGCGCCATTGGGCGCCATTTTTTGTGCCGTATTTTCTTCTTCCGATAGCTGAATACTATCCAATATTTCATCTGGACAAAGCTTTCGTTTAAAATTCATTGTAAATATAGCGATATCAGGAATGTAGCGTATATGCAGTAATTTCGAAAATCTAATGAGGCCGCAAAATGTAAAACACTGACCAGGTGAGCTACTGGTGCCACCATGTCTTCCGTGTACCCCTTATCAGTTTTTATTTTTATTCAATCTTTATGATATCCAACGGTGAATAATTAGCCTTGATGTTTCCGGCGGAACCTCATAAATGCATGAGGATCAAATATTTCGTTTTGGCCATTCATTTTCGTCCCATATCCAAATAGTAAACGTATATAAAATGGCCTTTATATTCTAGCAATTTTACTATGTTCGATCAAAATTCGTTTGAAAGGGTTTTTTCTGCGGCCGAGGATATGATACTGATGCAATGATGACACAATCTGCACTCAAGCTGTGAACGACCAGATGTGCAATTGCGCAATATACCTCACGCAAAGAGTTACGCACGATACGTCGCATGAACGTTATCACGACAATGTCGTCGTCGCCCTTTGCGTCCTTACGCAAACTTGGCGTCAAAATAGTTGATCAATTTTGTTCGCAAACCATTTGAATCGATAGTACAAATTCTGCAATAAAATGAGTTATACGTATGTTAAGAAAGTCATCCGTATATTCTCCGAAAGGTAATTCTGTATACTTTTCAAAATTTTACTTATATTGATGATACATTTCTAAAAAATGAATTAAATATTACCAAAATACAAAAAAATAGTAGATAGGGCTAAAAATAGGCTTACACATTTCATCAAAACATCTCATGAAAAATAATGCCAGTTAAAAATAAAAGACTAGATAAGCTTCTGTATGACATATTACAGACCATCTGATATCTAATGGTTTAGAAGTTATTTTGATTTGAAATTAGGGATATTACAATTTTTTAACGCGTCAAATCGATGCGACGCCGTAGGAGGTCAGGGTGAGAGAGTAGCATCGTTCTGGGGATTCAGAGTTCAAAGAGAATAAGACTTAGTCGATAGTGCAATTTTTTTGACATAGTCAAAAGCAAGAAATCTTTCCCACTTGTTTTAAAGGATTAATAAACTATGTTTAGCAGTTATTTCAGATAAAGTTATTCATAAGTAAATGAATATCATTTTTCATATATTGTAGATTTGAAAATCTTGTAATTCTCTGAATGAAAATAAAAGACATCCCCCAAATCCCTAGTGTTATTTCTAAAAGAACATTGAAATAAGACACTGTTTATTTCCGGGGAAACACGGTAATAACAGACAAAATATAGCTGCATTGTACAGTTTATCTCATGACAATTTTATCACTGTATAAAAACAACCTGATAAAAATGCGATAACGTTATACAGCAAATAAAAAGTAGTTGAATATTAAATTAGAGAAAGGTGAAGGTAGAGCAAAATCACGAACGGTTTTACACAAAAATGTGCGCTCCAGAAGTGTATGTACTAATATGGAGGGACTAATTTTGTTCACCTATTTTACATCAAGTTGTATAAAAAGACTGAAACCTTAGGGCAGGTGGGATATTCACTTGGCTAACACAGACATTTCCCGAACTCGTAACTAAAATAAGGAAAATCGGAATAAAATTAGGGCCTAACCCTACCTAGCCTAGTTCACACACTACGGGAATACCCAAAAATGTACGCATTCTATTAAATGAAACCTAAAACAGCAACTTTGAATCCGCCTCAAAAATAAAACTTTACAGGCTTCAAATATCTTAATTGATAACTTAACAAAATTTTAACGATTCGTAGTCTACATAAGCTTTAATTGGATCAAGTTGTGTAAAGGGACTGGAGCCTAAGGAAACGAGTTATATTCACTTGCTTAACAAGACAGTCCCCAAAATCGCAATAAAACTAAAACAAGTAAAATCGGAATAAAATTATGGCCCAATTCTAGCCTGGTACATACGCTACGGAAGTACCCAGAAATGTACGCATTCAATTAAATGTAACAGCAACTTTGAATCTGTCTGGAAGATAAAATTTTAGAAGCTTCAATAAAATAAATTATTACCTTATCCAAACTTAACGATGCGAGTTCTGATACAAAAGCTGGGCTTGTATTTAAAGACTGTAAAAAAATGGGCCTGTACTAGGAATGACAATAAAATATTTATTTGTTTTCTCAATCTATGAAAAACCACAACATGACTGTGAAATTGTAAAAAACTTTCTACCTTGTTTATGACTTGGTTTGATGAAGTTATAAAATTCACTCAACATGAGATAACCAGTTAGCTTTAATTAATTATTAAAGTAACCTAATACTTTATCTCACCTGATTGCAGATCTGTTATTACTGAAACAAGAAATTAAAGATTTAAAAAAGATAATCAATACCTCACAAACTGGTAAGTATTGTAAAAGTTTTATGCAAAAATTTAATAAATGTATCCATTTTTTTTTTCAACCTCCATCTCTGTTTACTTTCTGTTGGTATTGATATTTATGTTAACCATGGGCCCAATTTGTGATGTGTTCAACTCGACCGAAGAATATAAATTTTCTTCGATGACCGTTGAGTTCATAAAGAGGTAACAACTTTCATTCAAAATATTCAAATTCAACATGATATTTCAATTGAAATTATATATTTTTGTAGGACAGTTTTAATTGGTGTGAATAAACCGTCTTTGAATATTATCCATATTGGTCAAAAATAATCTATAACACTTCAGCAAATATATATAAGTCTATTTCCATTAGCTCACTGGTTTGCAACCAGCGGGCCATGGCCCACCTCTGAGCCACATAAACATTTTAAGGTGGACCGGAAACCTAATAAAAATTGCTAAACTTCGTTTGTAGCAGCAATGAATGATGAGGCTGTTTTTGCTACTGAGAGGCCATTCTCTTTTTAATTATTGCAATAAAAGTGTCTATCTTTGCAAAAAGATTTTTGTTGTTTTTCTGGTAGTTTTTCTCTTGCATATGGATTTTAATAGGCCACAGAATTTTCGGCACTCCCGAAGTATGTGCACCAAAATGGCGTACAACCTGAATCCTAACCTGGTACACTTACTGGGTTCAGGTTGTGTGCCATCTTGGTGCACAGACTTCTGGAGGTCCGAATTTTCCGTGCAACAAAAGCGGGCCACGAAAGATAAAAGGTTGACAACCACTGCTTTGGCTCTCTTTAAACTCGCGTATTCATTCAGAAATCAATGAATCTCGGAAAGAAACAAAAAACCTCCTCAGAGAAATAAATGTTTTCCGTGTAGACCTGTACAATCTTCGTCAGGTTAACAAAGATCAAACCAAAGAAATTGAAAAGTTGAAGAATGAGTTGGACTCGCAGAAACCAAGCCCTATAAGTATTTTAATAAGAGTATTTTCAATATTTGAACTTTTGTTTCGAGCAAGTCATTCACACATTTCACTAATTACTGCGATACAACAATACTTGGTTGAACACTTAAATTAAAATATATAGTTACATGCCGCACTAAATTTTGTATTCTCGTAAATTTGAAGAAGTAATTAATGATGGTGTCTGAAAATATAAATTGTAGTTGTCGAAAGGGTAGTAGTGTACCAGTTTAAGGTTAGGGCATAATGTTATTCCGATTTTCCTTATTTTAGTTCTACTACGAGTTCGAGGACTTTCTGTGTTAGCCAAGTGAATATACCCCGTGCCCATAGGGTTTTAGTCCCTTTACACAACTGGATGTAAAGTAGATAAACAATTAGTTACCTCGATATTGGTACACACACTTCTGGAACGCCGTCATGTATAGCTCAGTAGTAAAAATTATGATAAAGAAATAGCAGACAAATAAAATGACTTGGAAATATCGATATTTCATTGAACATCGTATTTTTTTGATTCACACCCAAATATTTTTTTTAGATGTTAATCCATGTTCAACAGTCAAATGTCAACGCAATCGACAATGTTCTAATGTCAATGGAAAAGGAGTTTGCAAGTGCGCATCAGGATATACGTTACAAAACAATCGTTGTGTTGGTAAATATTTGTTCTTTTGTAAAAGTACACGTTGAAATGGAGCGTATATGTCACTAAACCAATAATACCGTGGTTCCCAAACTTTGTGGCTCGTGTCTCTCTCCAGGAAGTTTTTAGCACTCATTGCCCCTATTGTTTATTATTCCAGTGGTATTTATAGTGTTATAAGATAATTAACAGACTGGATACAAGTTCTATAAATATCGCTGTGCTGAGATGAGATATATAGAGTGTTTAGAGTGTTCATGAAGCTTTTGTTGTTTTAAGTATTTTTATTTCATTTAATACATCTGTGAGGGCCAAAACAATATATGGTATCGCTAAATTCCCTTTGCAACTTTAATATTTTATTGGCACCTTATATAAAAAGTTTCCTCAACAAGAAAGAAGTTTAGACAGCTCACGCCTCATACTGTATATTGGTTCATATTAGAATGAATACCTTGATGCAATAAATAATCTATGAAGAGAATTTATGTCTTGAATCAAAAATACTTTGCACAAAATTTATCTGACACATCACAGGTACCCTTCGCCTACCATGCACTTCAAATCCGTGTCATAAACTAGCAGATTGCCAAAATGTTGGTTCCAGTCAATATAGATGTGAATGCAGGAAACCATATGTTGGTGACGGGATATCAGTTTGCAGAAAGGGTCCACAAAGTTTCACTTCAATCGGTAAACGTGCAAGTATTTTGAATTCATTTAATACATTTGTGGGGACCAAAACAATATAGGGTATCGATAAATTTCCTTTGCAAATTTTATTAGACTTTATGGACACGCTATAGAACACGTTTCATCAACAAGAAAGAAGACTGTATATTGGTTCATATTAAAATGAATACCTTGATAAAATAAACAATCTATTAAGAAAATTTGTGTCTTCCTAAATCATAAATATGAAAATACATCTGAAGTTGGTCTGTATTTTTATTGGTTGTTTAATGAGCGCATAATTTTGATATTTAATCTTGCAAGACTTTATTGAAGCAGTCGAACTCAGAAAAAAAAGGTTCCATTAAACCAAGTTAGAAGTAATCATATATATGTATAAGTTTTAAAAATTTTCTGTGCGATTTTAATAATCGCATTTTAATTAGGGCGCATTATAGAAACATTTTCTGAAAAGGTAATATAGTCAGTCATTTATACATGTTGCAGGTACTTTTCCTTGCTCAAATCAATGTCATAAGCAAGCAGAATGCGAAAACGTTGGTTCTAATCGTTATCAATGCAGATGCAAGAAACCATACATTGGCAACGGAATGGATTGCAGAAGTGAGACTTTTCTGTGGTATTTTAATAAGGGCCCATAATGGAATTAAAACATAAAGAATCTTACAGACTAATATATTTATTCCCAAATAATGCAGCAGAGTTACCAATCGGACCGTGCCTATCAAATTTATGTCATGAGCATGCAGAATGTGAACAAGTTGATTTTCATCGATATAAATGCACATGCAAGAAACCATACACCGGTGACGGAAGGAATTGCAAAGGTGTGTCTTTATCTATTACGAGATTTACTACGCTACATTGGTAATAGTAAATTCACGGAATACAAATCAACCAAAGAACATCACTTGGAGTGTTGTAATGATCAAAAGTCGTCTATATTCATTCATTCATTCAATTAAGCTCCGAATCTTTCATTCTGACAATTTTAGGCAAAAAAATAAATCAGCAAAAATATTCAGCTATTGTTTGTCTCCAAATCTCAATTCACGTCAACGAAGTTTTGACAAATTTTAAATATTCAATGGAACAACTTGGAGAAATGAAGAAACATAGGGCGTTCACTAATACATGCTTTTGTTTGTTACAGTTGGAGATGGACAACTAAGACTCGTTGGTGGAAATTCAGACAAGGAAGGAAGAGTTGAAATCTATTATCACGGAGAATGGGGTACTTTTTGTGATGATCATTGGGACATAAAAGATGCGAATGTTGTTTGCCGCACTTTAGGATTCAAAAAGGCAACATCTGCGCTGAAAGGCGCGCTTTTTGGAAAAGGAAGCGGGCGGATTTGGATTTATGTTGCTAATTGCAAAGGCACTGAGAACACTTTCTCCGAATGTAATATTGGTATTCAAAATATCGGCAAGATAATTTGCTACCATGGCAAAGGTTCTTCTGTTATCTGTGAATAGCTTCTATACCATATGTTCCGAGATCAGTTTAATTTGTACAAATATAGGTGCTCCCGTAGTATCCGTACCAAGATGGCGCACAACCTGAAAATAGTATGTGTACCGGGTTAGGGTTAGCAGGTTGTGCGCCATCTTGGTACGTATACTACAGGAGCGCCCAAACATATACATACAATAACAATGTTCAACATAATAAACCAATGATATTAATGATGTATAACAGTGGTTTTCAAAAGGTGTGGTGCGACCCACAAGGGGACGTAGATAATTTTCTAAGGAAGCGTGAAGTTAAATGAAAATAAAAATATTTTTTTGATTCGATTTTGTTGGATTTATTTTGGATATTTACGTTCCATTTAGAACCACTGGTGTGTAAAATAGTACAAATGAACTGAAAAATCAAAGATGGGCTCATCACGTATATGTAAATTTTTTATTTTAGGATACCGTTATTGACAGTAGATATGAAAGGAAATACGAGGTTTATAACGACCCGCATTTTCCATATCTATGAAACTCCCATCTACTTATTACAGCATTGCACTACGATTACCACCTTGAAATGTATAGCTAACAAAAAAGCAGTTCGGCTGATATTTCTTCTAACAATTAGTGTACTACAACAGTTTGATCCACAGACAAGACGTTTGGGAACCATTACATCATTTTTTTCCCGTAAAGCGTTCCTAGCACTGTGAAAATTTAATTATCAAACCCAACTTGAAGTCGCAAGAAAGAACAACAGTGGGAGTGATAATCACTCTTCACATTTGTTCCTATCTATTCCTAACTAGGAAGCTAACTACGTATACCTCAAACACTCATCTATAAAAACCCAGCGACAATCAATTTTCATCCATAAATTGACGAAGTCTATTTAGCGCCGACCTCGTCATTTATTGCAATGAACGAAGCGCTCCCTAAACATTCCAACCTGCTTAAGGTCAGCTTTTTCTAACCAATCCTGTGTTTTGTGTGCGCGGGCGATTTCGCTACGCTACGTTGAGTGAATCCTAGCTAAATGGTGAAAGCACCAGGGGTTTAGGCTATCTAGATCAAAGCGCGGGCGTTTACTCACCCTGTATTTAAAACACCGACTCAAATATTGCGGTCTTGAGCCTGTTTATAAACGCCGGACGAAGCTCTGTAATAAAGCTGACCGGCCTGACAAAACCCTAAGTTGCCCAAGAACTAAGGAAATATTTACGATAGGCGACTTTGCTTTGGTGCGCAGTTGGCCAAAATATTTGAAATTTGTTTTACCACCATCGCGCTTTCACGTGGTTTACGGGTCCAAAGGCAAAATGCTCAATACAATTGTGCGCGTTACAAAGCTAGAGTCATCAACTACGATTCACCTTAGTATAACTAGCTCACTAGTAGCTTAGTGCTACCGGGCTTGTCAACATTGACTCGAGCTTCAACAAATAGAATCCTTTGTCAATATCACTTCAAGACTTTAATATCAATTAAAAACTTTTCCTCTCTAAGCGCAATAGTGACCAATAGTTTTTATAAATTCGAATATCAAATCTAAATAAATGATTTAAAAACGTATTCAGACCATTCACGTGAACAAATTTGGGATTTATTGCCTTTTATTACACCAGTGAGAATCTATTGGACCTTCCAAAGTCTTTCGTCTGCTTCGTCCTTCGTCCGAAGGCACTCCTGTACTATGGCCTACCATGCAATAAGCAATACAGAGAGTCCTCTGGTTACGACGGTCGCGACTTACGCTGTTTCGAGGTTACGAAAAAATTTAAAAGATAATATTGTACTGTACAGTATTTGCTTTCATTCATGTGATATATGTTTTTTAATAAAGTAATTTTTTGCATTATTTGTACACTTTATTACTGTACCATACTTTACAATACAGTACGATATGTATAGACTAATTTATGTACTGTACAGTGTAATGTTCCAACACTGAAATTCGGGTTACATCGCGTCTCGAGAACGGAACAACGTCGTAAGTCGAGGACTCCCTGTAGTCCCATTCAAATGTAAGTTAATACAAGAAGCTACGCTTCAGTATCGTGTGTTTAAGTGCTCCATATGAGTGACCGATCCAGAATAATACCTATCACCCTATCTAACTAAACAATACATAATTTAATGCAATGTTAAGCCTAACCGAAACTCTCATTGAATTTGGACGGTTGAATTTGAGCGAGCAAATTTGGTTTAATCCCAAAGATATTACATTATTAATCATTTTTAGAAAGATTTTGGCATTATTAAAAGAAAACCATGGTTGGTTTGCCCTATTTCAAATATCATTCATGACCAATCGTAATAAATCGTCCACAAATTATTGCTATGTGGATCGATACACAAGAATGATACGAAATAAAAATCCAATTAACAAATTATACTTAGCAATGTATGCACTGTGTGCACGCCCATGGAGAGTAAGATCATCATTAGAGAAACAAAATTTACCTCTAATTATCAAATTCCCAATACCCGCCGGAGTGAGTTACTTACTACTATACAGTCATAATGACCGCCACCTAAACGCTCTTATCTAGATCAGGGCCTCCCTAACTTTATTGTCTTGTACGCGAGCCAAAATTAGAATCGGAAAGATGTTCGCGAGCCGGAAGAAACATGTTTGTTTGACTCATAATGACGCTACATGTCGTATTGCTTCAGAACTGGAATAGTTCGTTGTCAAAGAAGACAAAACGCTCAAGTTTGACTCTTTTCAACACAGAAATACAAGTCTTCGAAACTTTTTTACATGGCTGAAACCGAATTTATACCTATGTAATCCTAATATCGTTACGTATGCAATTAAGATACATATATAATCAAAATGCTATGATAAACACGAGCTTAAACTGTGATAATGACGTAATAATTGGAGGTTTCTAGATTGCAGAAAGGTAGAAACAAAATCTGTTTCACAATTCCACTTAAGCTCGGCGGGCCATTTTAAATCGTTACGCGGGCCGGATTTAGCCCGCGGGCCGCGGTTTGGGAACCCCTGATCTAGATTGTCTAAACTCTAAACAAATAAATCGACAAGCGAGAATTGATCTCTAGTACAAAACAAGTGAATCCTCTAGAGAAGCGTAGATTCCTATATTTCATATCTGCGCCCTTTGCTCTTCGCCTGATGGCTCTGATTCTACATCAAGTACGAAGTGTTCGTACAACAAACATAAACGATAAAAGACACTATTCTATCAGTTGCCTTCGGTTAAAAATGATGAGAACATTAAGTATGATATTCGGAAATATTAGGGCAATTCTTCGCTTTTCAGGGTTAAAATTCAAGCCAAGCAGAATACCGTCGCATAAAATTTTGAGCCCTGCCTAGAAAGGCTCAAAAGGAATAAACATATTAAGGCCATAACAAACGGTAGTGTCTCGATATATGGTATTATCGAATGTTGTTTTTCAGAGCCTTGTTTAAACCAATAGCGAGGAGGCACTTAAAACAAATTCTGAACATTTTAGAAACTTATCCGCATTGAATGAACAATTATTTTTTTTTATCGATTTATCTCACCTCTGTTGGTTGATGTCGTCGCCCGTTTTCTTTGACACTCTATTATTAGAATTTGCTTGTCTGTAAATGTCAATAAAACAATCAATTTACGAGTTTTATTTGATTGTGGTGAATTTGTAAAAATGAATATTCATCTCGGCTGTTGGTAAACAATACTAAGCGATTTTCTTGAACTAATAAAGTTGTAGTGATTTATAGTTTCAACAATCATTATATTTATTTTTGTATTTTACCGTGGTTGAATAATGTCATTGCCACTAATCTTCTTGAACACTCAATATTAGAGATTTATTTTCTGTAAACGGCAACAAAACAATTGATTTTCATTTGATTAGAATGAATTATTGATTTGAATTAGAATTGTAAACGTTGAACCACTTGATTGGAATTGAAACGTTCTGCTAAGCGATTTTTCGAATAAATAGAAGAGTAAGCAGTAATTAAGCAACAATTACCATTTACACCAACGTAGCTGACGAGTCATTCAGCCAGCCCATGATAACATAAATATGTGTGACAGACTAAAGTGTAAATGTTCTTCGGCTTCTGTAAACGGTAAAGGAGTAATTTATTAAAGTCTATGGCGCAGGAGCAGATGTCATCTAACTCAGGGCTCAACTATTTTTACCGAAGATCCGCATACAGAACTTCAAAAATATTTGGGTCCGGTCTTTCCAGAAATTATATTTCGGCACCCTCAAACACGCACTTCCTCGGCCGACTAATGATTATTAGCTAATCAAGATTGTTTGTTGTGGTGTTCTAGTTATTTTCATATATATTCAAATTTATAAGTCGGATTTTATAAAAAAAGGAAACAAAATTGCGGCTTATAATTTTAAATAAAGAATTTGACTCGGTCCGAATTGAATAACCGAAAGGTCCGGATTTGGACCGCGGTCCGCCAGTTGAGTAGCCCTGATCTAACTTATTTGGAATTTGAACGTAATTTACATACTTTGCAATACAATATTTTCAGATTTATTCCGGGAAAGGAAGCTAACATTACGAGTTATACGACCTATATCGTATCCAGAACCAAAGCCTCTCGTCGGCTACCATTTCAGTTAGGAGTCACAAATGCATAGACTTGATGGAACGCTATCAATGGCATGCCTTCGCCTGAACCACCTTAAAGAAGCGCGTGGAATTCGGCAATGATACAAGACATAAGTAAAATAGTGAGATTTGAACTGAATTCTGGCAGAGTGAGATGTCTTATATTCCTAACGCGCAGTTAAGGTGCGACTTCGGCCAAGTAGCATGAATCTATCTAAATATAATGTTGATACTACTTACCTGAGAGTTTTCAGACATCTTTGCGTATCACGAATGAAACGGTTGTATTTTTAAATAGTCTATGTCTTCGAGTAATGCTCTGACTTTGCAACATGTTATATATAGTAGTGCTACTTATTTACCTGAAACAATAAAACAAGTTGCTAAATGGTTGCAACTTAACACAGCTAACCCGTTTCGATGCGTTACTACCGTGCATCACTTACTGGTGAAGCGATCAACGGAACGCGCGCTTCCAGCATTGGGTGGGCCACGTGACGTCGGCAACTCCAGCTGAACTCGAACAGTCCAATCAGACACGCCAGCCATCTGAACGTTGATTGGACCAAAAACAGTCTAATCAGACACGCCCGCCATATGAACGTTGAATGGACCAAAAACGGTCTAATCAGACACGCCGTCTCTCTGAGCTTTGTTTGATTGGACGTTGGGCTGAAAAATGACAACAGAGTGCGTGCGATATTGCGAAATGAGATTTTAATACCAATACCTAAGCAATGTACGTTTTTCCGACCTTTAATAATCCTAGGACAAGTCTTTTATCCTAACAAGATCGTTTTTGTTAGTTTGGCAGCGTTTGGCGCAGGTTAGCACCCACGACCTGGTTTACATTTACGAACAAGCATTTCGTTCCAAACTGCTCGACCACTTGGCATTTAAAGCACTGGCATCTGATTTTAGTCTAGTCCAGGGGTCCGCAACCTACGAGCACTATAATCCGGCCCGCGACGCTCCACTAAATTATAGTATTAAAACATCAGTTTTGACGAATATATTCTTTAGACTAAATTATATTATAACCTAACAATTATATAATTCCCAATTACTCGTTTATTAAGCCTATGATTTAATTATAATTAAGCAAATGGCAACAAAACGCAGAAACTAAGTGCAAAGGGTTCAATGGCGTCGAAAATATTCAGATGGAATTTTATGAGATGCAATGAGAAAATAAATCTATAATCTATTCGAGAGATGTATCACTGCTTGATTTTTATTATAAAAAGTACCATTCGTTCGGTTTTTCAACTTTCTAAAAATATGTGCGGCCCGCCTGACTTGCAGCCTTAATTTTGGCCCGCGAGCTACAAAAGGTTGCCGACTCCTGGTCTAGTCCATACCCCAGCATTCGAGATCGTTTCGATTAAAAGTAAAGTAAAACTTCAGTTCATTCATACACACCATAATCCGTCAAGAGGCCGTGGTTCGCCGTGTCATTGAACCGGCGGGTTGGATTTTCTTCCTAAAGCGATAAATGAAAATTCAGCGTATTCAATCCTATCGTAAATCTCATCGGAATCAAGTTAACAGGAACTAATGGTAAGCGTGTTAAAATCAAAACGATGTGAGAATATAATTTTCACCAACATCAAAGCCTTTTCAATCAATAACGACTTTAACAAAAGCTTTATTACTTATCGATTTTAATCGGTAAGTAAGTTGATAGGTATTTGTCTGTCTTTCTGTTAGTTGCACGCGATATCTCACGAAAGCGAAATTGAATCTGCTCCAGATTTTGCATGTGCATTCATCATATGTCGGACCAGAAACCTACTGATTTTGGATGAAATATGTCGTATAATTAGCGAGTTATTAATTAGTTAGTGATGGGACACAAGGTGACACTATGGAGTAGAAGCGCTGTTTTGTGGGATCCCCTAACTTTCGATCAATAAGTCTTCGGTCTCTGATCGTTATTCTCGTTTATTCAATATTGTCAGCTAAGGATCAAAAATAACTTTTAATCATCAGCACCAATATCTGTGAACAATTCTGCCCGACGTATTACTATTGAAGAAAGCAGTCCTATAGTTTCCCATCCATGTTTCTGCACTAACTTGTTATTATTACTACGAGTTATGGTTCTGTAACTTACCAGGGTCATGAGCATCAGACTGAAATCAATTTTCATGATACTACAGGTAGTTCATGCAACATTAGCTTACTAGCCTGCTACATGCACGTTTTAAAATAACAAATGATAATATAAACGAGAATATCGGTCGGAGACCGGAGACTTATCGATGTAAGTTAGGGGATCCCCATTCATTCACTCTGACTCTATAGTGACACCGCGTGCCCCATCACCAATTAATTATTGACTCGCTAATTATACAACATAATTCATCCAAAATCAATAGACTTTTGGTACGAGCTATGGTGAATGCACATGCAAAATTTGGGGCAGATTCAACCTCGCTTTCATGAGATATCGCATGCATCCAACAGACAAACAAACAGACAGAGAAATACCTATCAACATACTCACCGATCTTAAGATCGATAAGTAACAAAACCAAATGCTGTGCATAAGCGCAACCTTGCAACACACACACGGCAAGCTGACTGATAAGACCTCGATGACTTCGCGTTGATTACTCTGATAATTATCCAACGCAGATTATGGACTAGAAAGTTCTTGTTGTTTTGTTCTATATTGATTCTTGCATGGCGAAAATGTCTGAATCTGAATGCTCGGTTCCACCAATTAATTGATCCGAAACCGGACTCAAAGTCAAGGGAATAACAAATCTGGGATCTTTTGTTCAAAGCCCCGCCGCTAATGCAAAAATGTGAGATTTGGAAAAGCACCCGCGTCACGTTTTAAAATAACAAACGAGAATATCGGTCGGAGACCGAAGACTTATCGATCGAAACTGCGGTTTCGATTCATGACTCTATAGTGACACCGCGTGTTCCATCACCAATTAAATAATAACTCGCTAATTATACAACATAATTCATACAAAATCAATAGGCTTCTGGTTCTGAGCAGATTCAACCTCGCCTTCGTGAGATATCGCGTGCATCTATCAGACAGACAAACAGACAAATACTTATCAACATACTTACCGATTAAGATCGATGAGTAATTAGTAAGTATCAGGTTAGGAACAAGTTTTGGAACAATTGGAAAATTTGAATTTTTAGCGCAATCTGCATTCCCAACCCTTACTCTACAAAAAATCCCAAAATCTGTAGTTCGAATGGGTAGACATTGGGGTCCAAAAAGAATTTCAAGTTTTCAAAAAAGTACGTTACGCGCAGTTTACGGGTATAAATTTACGTGCAATAATAACAGAACTAGGCTCAGTCATTCGCTCATAAATGCATATATTCTACAATAAAAATTTGTATATAACGACCCGAGAAGTGGAACATTTACACATCATTTATTTCCAGATGCTCCGGTATATTAATCAGAAACGGTGACTTGTATGAGACGTATGTGGATAAAGTGTAAGTCTTAATTGACCTTCCACAACGTTTTATTTGCCGTATTTCTCCAATTTATTTACCCAAATTTACATCAGGAAATCAAGCATATCAATTTTAATCAATACAATACACAACTGGCTACTCAACTGGCAATACCAATATCAACGAATTTCCTGAGCTATTTGTTTTTAGATAAAACATCAAACTTTGGTTGGAGAAATTTACCTATTGGCCCCTGGGCCGTAGTTTGTCCATGTCATAGTTAAAAGCACTGAAATATATCCAAGCGCAGTATATTTTTGTGAAAAACCGGGCCGCAGAAATTTTGTAGTTTTGTATACGGATTATCGATAGAAAATAGTTGAGCGGCACTATTCACAGACGACTGACGCATCGTTGTCGTGAGTGCACAATGCATTGTACGGTCCATATTTTCCAACGCCTCGACACGATTCGAACTGTGTAACATCTCTATCGCAGTGAATTGAGATCAGCCATATTTTCCCTTTTCCTTCACCGAATCGAAATCCGACTCCCGCTTCTTTCGCTTTATTGAATCCTAGTTCCCGACAAGCTAAGTATGCCTCGTCCATTCCCCAAAGGTATCCACATATTGTTCCCCATTCTCCTGCATGGAACACTTCCAGTCTCCCTTCGCTGTCAGAATTACCTCCTGCGAGTCTCAGCTGTCCATCTTTAACTGAAATACAGTTAACTTATAAGTGTTGGACATAATTAGTAGTAAGTTTCGAAGATGTCCCTTGAGTTCCAAACCTGTTTTTGGAAATACTGTGATAATCGACGCGCCCGTTCTGTTTGTTTTAGTATGGTAGGGCTGTATGAAACGAGGGAACCTGTTGTTAGGAAGTCAGATTCAAAAGCGAACTTATTCTTAAATTTTTCAATTCCACCCAACAAAATGTTGCACAAATCGGCACGTTGTTTGAGGTACATCAAGCTCAATGATTAGATATATTTAGATATAGATATTTCCTCTAAGCTAGGTCACGCGGAATCACTTAAAAATTGACCCCTGAGCAAAGCTACGCGCGACTACCAAAATGCCAAAGGATTTTATTACAATCGGCTTCAATACTTACTCTCACACGTTGGTCCATTTCGCGTGTATGGTTTTTGACATTTACAGTCGTACTTTTCATTGCCCAAACGTTTGCATATTGCATTGTTCCCACACGGGTTGGTATCACAAGGATTAGAATCTGCAAATTTATAGGAATGTTATAGTTCTTAAATTTAAAATATTTTGATCATGCATTGTGCTGATCATTAAGGATACGCTGGCTATCGCACCTCTGAATACCCTAACTGTGTGCGCAGGTTCGAAACGGGTGAAGAGAATCTTGCGCGAGATGAATCTAGACTTCGCACCGCCGTAAGGTGGTTTTCGTGGCGCGTGCTGTTACGGCATCCCTTACCATCAAGTCTATGCATTCAAAAAAAATACCTGGCTAACTAATCCCATAACAGACATGGACTGGTATCTGGATGGGAAGCCGTGGTTCGCCATATGATAAATCGGCTATTATCTTATCGGCTATTCGTTCCCCGGGGATAAATATGAAAGTCAAATTATATCCGTTTCAAGCCCTATATTTGTAGGCCTACTTGACTTTATTATTTATTTCCCATAGTCTTTGCTATTATCTGTGCAAGGAATTTTCGAAATATCGGAGTGAAATGTTTATGTTCCGATGCATTTTTAAATGATTTTATGCCCCTACTTTCAGCCATAATACCTAAGTATTCCTATTGAAAATCTAACAATTTAATAAAGTAACTACATAACCTCGTTTTTTATTTTGTCCAGTCGCAGCATTTCCCTTTTTTAAGTTTTCGATACTTTTAGTCTGCTCGTCGTTGATTTTACGAAGTTGGTTCAGTTCCGACAGCAGAAAAACGATTTCTAAATGTAGATCAATGTTATCTTATATTCGAAACACAAATAGTGCTACTTTGGCGGGCAGCCTCAGCGGTTATGTGAACGCGAAGATTTTGGTTCAAGGTATCAACATACAGGTGCAGCTCTTGTAAGCGATTAAGATTACACTGAGCAAGTGAGATCGCCTTACACCAGTGGTTCTCAACCCACGGTACGCGTACCACTAGTAGCCACATAACATACTCCCATAGCCCCCCACCCTAAAAATAGAAATGAAAAAAAAAAAAGGATTTTTTGTTGGTACGCAGCCCGAGTGAAATACACAAAAGTGGTGCGCAGTCAGTGAAAGGTCAGTAAACCACTGCCTTCCACGAATATCAACGCTTCAAATTATCATTCTATGATCTGTTAATTCGCTTTTGTGTTTGTTAAAACGGGGTTCTGATTTTCTGGAAAATGATTATATGTTAGAGGATTATTAACTTCTCAACTCTCCTCAACAACCTCGAATTTTGTACATTTCCGACCAGAACTAATATTTTGGCAACAAATTCCTATATTTTGATATAGCTCCCCAAATATTGATTTAAATAATTGATAAGAAAGACGGCTACACAGAGACACTACTAAGAGACACAGAGTCAAAATGAGCCTGTATCGGATCTCCTATAGTGACTGTTTCTGCATTATTAAAATGTTTAAATTTCATAAATTTTCAAACGGTAAGCATATGAATTAAAATGAGACAACCCGTAACAGTATTTTACATTTCAAAATGCCTTCGATATAGCCTTTTGTGCCTCTTTTGGAGGGAATATTTCACGTGGACGTGTTACGCGCAGTAAAAAAACTCATGATATAGAAAGCAATCTAAAGCAGAAAGATATAGCGGTAAACAATTTGAGAACGACGCATGAAATAAATACCTCCCTTCTTCAAACTTTCAATTTCACTAGTGAGTGTCTGTAGCTCTGAAAAAATAAGAGAACTTAAAATTATTGCAAAGTAGCTTTACAATATGAGTCTAATCGATATCTATACTTTTTTTATTATTGATTTATTGTTAATTGGGCGAAGGCAGCTACCCACCATTTAATTGCCCATTGAATTTTCCCTGGATGAATGAGATAAATTATTTATCCGGGGATGGACATTTTCATTCCTAACTTTTTATGGGTGAAATAAACACTGAATTTTGTTTTGAACAACATTAAAAAATTTGGTGCTCCCGAAGTATGCGAACCAAGATGGCGGACATCGGAACGTAACATGGGTAACAGGTTAGGGTTAGGCGATAATTTTTTTCCAATTTTCCTTATTTTAGTCCTATTATCAGTTCGAAGACTAGCCAAGAGCCTCCCGTAGTATTTATATCTAAAATTATGGCCTAACCCTAACCTAGTACACGAATTACATTCCGATGTCCGCCATCTTGGTTCGCATACTTCGGGAGCCCCAATTTGAACAACTTACCTTTTCTTAACTGTTTTATTTCGTATCTATTGTTGGAATTTTCGCTGTATAGTCTAGCAACATCGCTTGAAACTTCCTTTTTCTGTTCACAAGTTATAGGAAATTCTTTCTTCTTTAAATAATCAGAAATACCGAAACCTTGCTCAAGAGATGAAGGCGAAGGATCACATCGATTGCCATCGCATCCGGGTTTGAAACGACAATTTAAATACTCTGCCATTGAAAGGTGGACGAAGAGGCATATGGTGAAAAATAATTTATTGGAAACCCAATTCATTATTGTATAACTATATGCCATGCAATGCTGATACACCTGTAAAAAAGTTAAATGATAGAAAAAGTCAAACTAGCGATTAATGAATAATGGCTTTATAAACAAACGATTCCAATTGCCAACACTTTAGCACAGTTTGAAAAAAGTTACAGTGGTAGTGTACCGCTAATGTACCTGTACCAGGTTAGAGTTAGTCCATAATTTTATTCCGATTTTCTATTTCAGGCCTATTACGAGTTTAGCGACTGTCTGTGTTACACAAGTGAGTATACTTCCTTTACACAACTTGATGTAAAGTAGGCGAACAAAATTAGTTACCACCATATTGGTACACGTACTTCTGGATCGCCGAAAGAAAGACGATGACGACGGTGGCTAAATAGTTTGGCGTTCGTTTTGTACAAGATCATTTTCAACGTATGTCAGAAGGTTTGAAATAAAAGCTGAAGCTAAAAGAAGTGGCTACGTCAGTGGGCCCCAAACGGCGGAGCGCGCCCCATAAAGGAGGTGTGAACAATTTTTTAAGGGGGCGTGAAGCTGATAAAAAGTAAATATATTGGTTAGATTTGATCCTGCCTTATTTTATATCCTGTATTTACATTGCTTTATTGTTTAGAAATTGCACAGAGCTGTTGTTACAAATTTAGTTTGTTTTCAGAACTTTTCATTTTTTTTTTGTTACACGTATTTCCAACGTGTTTTTGAATAAAACATACTTTCGCCTTACTACCTGTTATTTGTACCTTATTATTAGCTAGTTATGTTTGAGGCGTGGCACGAAACGTGGCAAATTTTAAAAAGCGCCGCGGCTTAAAAAGTTTGAAAATCACTGGGCTTCATGAACTAACCAGCTGCGGTTTAGAGTCCAGCAATAATCCCAAATATTAACGCCTAATTCGTATGGCGGCAGCGTGGTGAAACTAAAGGTATTCAGTCTGGCGTTTGGAATGGTTCGAAAAAATTATGCCGTATCTACCAGCGCAAAAGCATAGCCAAACTCAAACTTTATTTTTTTTAACCAGAAAAATAATAAACCGATACAATGCAAAAAATATGCGAAAAGTCAGGAACATAATTTTATTGGGGAAGGGAACCAAAGTTGGTTACCTAGCAGCGGCACCCCAGGTTCTGCTATTGAAATAATAAGATTCAGACGATCAATATAATATTGATATGTTATGACGAGCAATCGTCACGACACTAGGCTGTATCAAAGAACCACGCAATAACAACAGATAGCAATTTCGGGTATTATCCGTTTCATAGACTACAGGCAAGAATGTAAGTCGTCCACAATAACGCTTTTATTAGCATATGCTGAGAACCTATTAACTTATCCCTGACTTTAGTTACCCTTTTACAGCTAACAAATTCATACTGATGGGTGAGCAAGCACGTAGTACACCTTTCGACAACATTTCAATCTAACATTTGTGAGTTTTGAGCCTCACTTAAGGTTTAATTTGCTGTCCTGATTCCATAATCAGTTTTATTTATTTAGTTTTTAGCGATAACTTTATCGTCTATTATGCTGACTATGGGTCGAAGTAAACTCATATTTATAATAACATATTCTTTTGACAGTTACCAGGTAAGATTTTTGTAAAGAAACTTCCGACAACGCTATTCGAAATTTTCTTCAAATATTTCTAATACTAAACCATATAAAGTCTACAAAGCTGTGTAGCTAGCTATATATATTGTATAGCATTGCTAGAGTTCGTAAATGTGTTGATGTTTTCACCGCCGGAGGATATATTTCGCGAATTCTAATGTTTTATTTTTGTAAATATTATAAAAATCACCAGGATGATGTAATAAAAAACACCTGTATAAATACCAAACTTTTTATAATCTTGCGTACTGTACTCATTCATTGCCCGCATTCAAGCGATCTACGTTTGAAATGTATAGTCTTGATATTGTTGTTTTGCAAAGTCTTAAAATTTTATTAAGACAACCTATAACCAAAAAATAAATAAAAACGAATTAAAAAAAAAGAGTGAACACGCATTTTATTCGTTATTTCATCTGCCCCCAAATTTCAGGGTGTCCAAAAAATTTCGCCCGATTCTAGAGTAATAACAATTCTGAGTTGAAATAACTTTAATTGTATGATAAATCAGAATTACAATTGCTATAAAATCGGGAGAATAAGATTTACATATTTCTCCAGGGGAGAGGAAAGTCGGTTGGACGGCTCAACCACATGGGGAAACACGGTCTCGTCCGGTTACCATTCCAATTCGAGTATAGGATTAGTTAATTATTTGGTTCGGAAGCATGGACTTGATGTCGGAAGAAAGCGCAACCGATCAACGATTACGTGAACCACCCAGAGGCGACGAGGAGTCCAGCAGTCCTCTTGCACGTAACCATCCCTGCATGGGATTCGAACCCACGCAGAGTAATCAGAGGATTTGTGTAGTTGTAGCTGTAGTTTTTAATTTTGTGTAATTACCCGATCGTGCCACCCTTTTTCATGCGATTATTAATTTATGTTTTAAATGTTATCATTCCTTAAGCTAATTTTATGTAATTTAATCTCCTAGATCAGGGTGGTCCAAACTCAAACACGCGCGTGTTTTTTGCAACCAGCTTAAACAGTATTACAAAAATGCTGCCTATATGTCAGAAAATTGACCGATCTCTCCTGCCCACCGGCGGCTTGTTGGAAAACTCCAGTCGATGGCTTAACACTGCCAATCACGGCCCTCTAGTTAGTGAATTACATCACAAAAGATACTGTAATGGTCACTGGCAATTTGAAAACCCCATATTTGAAACCACGCTGTAGAAAAACAATACACTAGTAATTATTGTTACAAAAGTTTTAGTAACTTGCAAGTCACATGCAAATCAATGCTAGAGAAAAGCCATATACTTGTCAACAATGTGGAAAGTGTTTTCTCAAAATTTTCACTCGAAGGCATATTCTAACCCACACTGAAAAAAGCATACACATGTAAATATTAAAGCAGTTTTTTTTTTAACAAACTACAACTTGAAAACAAATATTCGAACACATACTGAAAAGCCATACACATGTCAACAATGTGGAAAGCGTTTTTGCAAAATTTCAACGTGAAAAGGCATAGTCGAAATCATACATTTAAATCTTTTAACGTTGGTTATGAATTAATATGACATTGGAGAGTCATCGCCATTGATCTCCTAATTTTGTTTTATCACGCCAGAGTAAAAATATATACTGTTTAAACAAGTTAATTTTCATATACAACTGGATTCTGTTACCAAATACCTTCTTCAATTTTTCCCGTGATGAAAGTTTTTCAATTAGGTTTTTATAATATATCTCTAAGCAAGAAAGTTATGTATTTGTTAACAGAATGAGCGGGCTGATTTTTATTTTGGTACTATTAGTAAAAGATGGCAAGGAAAAGTCATTTCCAAGGTCATTGGTCATTCCGATGTGCTGGTAGAGTTTTCGCGATATTTTGTTACACAATAAATATGTACATGTGGAGGCAGCATTGCGGCGCGATAAGGATTGCACATATAGTAATTTATTATTGATGAGCAACCGCAACACGATTGAAAAAAGTTATTCAATAATTCAAAAATAGGTTTTATTCCTCAATTTCAACTTCTAACGTAGGTAATGTAATCATGTATACTTTACACATGAAGTTATATTAGACTCTGATGCAAACGTGACACGTAGCTTTGGTATTACATAAATGCTGAAATGTTGTTGCCGTGAACAATGACCTCTTGGTGGTGAATTCTATAATCAGGCTCGACCAAAACCAAATCATCCACCATTTTAAATCAATCCTGAACATTTTTTCTAAATATGAATTAGTAAATACATTCTAAACTGGATCATGATCAGCAGAGAACAAATAGAAGGTCGAAAATGCAAAAAGATTATAAAACAAACTGATTGGCTCCCAGGATCTTCGCTGGTACATGAGCAGGGCTGCCAGATCTCAGCAATCAAAAAAGCCAAATCAAGATATAAAAAAGCCAGAAAAAACAACAATTTTACTAATTACAAAAGCCCCATGATTTGTCAGATTTGTTACCCTTGGCATAATAGTAGTTTTTCACAGTTTGCAATATGCTGATGTGGAGCCATTTATTGAGCCACACAAAACAAAATTCAGTGTATATTTTACCCATAAAAAGTTAGGAATGAAAATGTCCATCCCCGGATAAATAATTTATCTCATTCATCCAGGGAAAATTCAATGGGCAATTAAATGGTGAATAGCTGCCTTCGCCCAATTAATAATAAATCACTATTGAAAAAACTATACATACCGCTTAGAGTATAGCAAAGCCACTTATAATTTTAATAATTTTAAGTTCCCTTATTTTTTCAGAGGTACAGACACTCACTAGTGAAATTGAAAGTTTGAAGAATGGAGGTATTTATTTCATTCGTTGTTCTTACATTGTTTATCGCTATATCTTCTTGCCTTAGATTGTTTTCTATATCGGGAGTTTCTTAACTGCACGTAACACGTCCACGGTAAATATTCCCTCCAAAAGAGGCACAAAAGGCTATATCGGAGGCATTTTGAAATGTAAAATACTGTTACGGGTCGCCTCATTTAAATTCATATTCTTACAGTTTAAAAATTTATGAAATTTGAACATTTTATTAATGCAGAAACAGTCACTATAGGAGATAGGATGCAGGCTCATTTCGACTCTGTGTCTCTTAGTAGTGTCTCTATGTAGCTGTGTTTCTTATTAATTAATTAAAAAAATATTTAGGGAGCTATATCGAAATATAGGAATTTGTTGCCCAATTATTAGTTCTGATCGGGAATGTACAAAATTCGTGGTTGGTGAGGAAAGTTGAGAGATTAATAATCCTATAACATATAATCACTTCCAGGAAATCAGAACCCTCGTTTTAACAAACACAAAAGCGAATTAACAGATCATAGAATGATAATTTGAAGCGTTGATATTCGTGGAAGGCAGTGGTTTACTGATCTTTCACTGACTGCGCACCACTTTTGTGTATTTTACTCGGGCTGCGTACCAACAAAAAATCCTTTTTTTTTTTTTTTCATTTCTATTTTTTAGGGTGGGGGGCTATGGGGGGCTATATGTGGCTCTCACTTGCTCAGTGTGATCTTAATCGCTTACAAGAGCTGCACCTTTATGTTGATACCTTGAACCAAAATCTTCGCGTTCACATAACCGCTGAGGCTGCCCACCAAAGTAGCACTATTTGTGTTTCGAATATAAGATAACATTGATCTACATTTAGAAATCGTTTTTCTGCTGTCGGAATTGAACCAACTTCGTAAAATCAACGACGAGCAGACTAAAAGTATCGAAAACTTGAAAAGGGGAAATGCTGCGACTGGACAAAATAAAAAACGAGGTGAGGTAGTTATTTTATTAAATTGTTAGATTTTCAATAGAAATACTTGGTATTATGGCTGAAAGTAGGGGCATAAAATAATTCAAAAATGCTTTGGTACATGAACATTTCACTCTGATATTTCGAAAATTCCTTGCACGCAGATAATAGCACTAAAGACTATGGGAAATAAATAATAAAATAAAGTACCAATAGTTTGCAAATATAAGGCCTTAAAAAGATAAATAGGATTTTCATATTTATCCCCTAGGAACGAATAGCCGGTAAGGCGGTTTATTATATAGCAAACAACGGCCTCTCATCCAGATACCAGTTCATGTCGGTTATGGGATTAGTTAGCCAGGTATTTGTTTTGGATGCATAGACTTGATGGCGAAGGAAGCGGTAACAGCAAGCAATTACGAAAAGGGAGGGGACGCGAAGTACAGATTCATCTTCCGCGAGATTCTTTTCACCCGTTTCGAACCTGCAAACCCAGTTAGGATATTCAAAGGTGCGAAAGCCAGCGTATCCTCAACGATCAGCACGATGCATAAAATATAAATAATTAAATATAAAAACTATAACATCCCTATAAATTTTCAGATTCTAATCCTTGTGATACCAACCCGTGTGGTAACAATGCAATATGCAAACGTTTAGGCAATGAAAAGTACGACTGTAAATGTCAAAAACCATACACGCAAAATGGACCAACGTGTGAGAGTAAGTATTGAACTGTACGAGTCGGTAGTTGGGCCGATTGTAATGGAATCTCTTGGCATTTTGGTAGTCGCGCGTAGCTTCGCTCGGAGGTCAATTTCTAAGTAATTTCTCGTGACCTTGCTTAGAGGAAATATCTATAAAAATACTACCATAAAACGGGATCTCCAATAAGTGAGGTTGATGTACCTAAAACAACGCGCCAATTTGTGCAACATTATGTGCTGGGTTGGCGGGAAAAAATTAAGGACAGGTTTGCTTTTGAATCTGACTCCCTAACAACAGGGTCCTTTCTTTCAGAAAGCTTTGTCGTATTAAAACAAAACAAACAGAACGGGAGCGTTTCCGATTATCACAGTTTTCCAAAAACAGGTTCGGGGACAACTCGAGGGACATCTTTGAAACTTACTACTAATTATGTCCCACGGTTCCATTACATTTGAACCCACGTACATTTGAACTCATGACAATTGCACCTGTATGCTATTGCACCTATGGAATTTTTTTTGTTTCACGGATAGTTAAACCCATACTAACCCTAACCCATGGGTTTTAGCACCCGCATATAGATTGAACCCGTGGATATACGCATGGGTTCAAATGTACGGTCACCATGTCCCACACTTATAAGGTAACTGTATTTCAGTTAAAGATGGACAGCTGAGACTCGCAGGAGGAAATTCTGACAGCGAAGGGAGACTGGAAGTGTTCCATGCAGGAGAATGGGGAACAATATGTGGATACCTTTGGGGAATGGATGAGGCATACTTAGCTTGTCGGGAACTAGGATTCAATAAAGCGAAAGAAGCGGGAGTCGGATTTCGATTCGGTGAAGGAAAAGGGAAAATATGGCTGATCTCAATTCACTGCGATAGAGAGGTTACACAGTTCGAATCGTGTCGTGGCGTCGGGAAGTATGGACCGTAAAATGCATTGTGCACTCACGACAACGATGCGTCAGTAGTCTGCGAATAGTGCCGCTCAACTATTTTCTATCAATAATCCGTATACAAATCTACAAAATTTCTGCGGCCCGGTTTTTCATAAAAATATATTGCGACTGGATACCTTTCAGTGCTTTTAACTCTGACATGGACAAACTACGGCCCAGGGGCCAATAGGTAATTTTCTCCAACCAAAGTTTGATGTTTTATCTAAAAACAAATAGCTCAGGAAATTCGTTGATATTGGTATTGCCAGTTGAGTAGCCAGTTGTGTATTGTGTTGATTAAAATGACATGCTTGATTTCCTGATGTAAATTTGGTTAAACAAATTGAAGAAATACGGCAAATAAAACGTTGTGGAAGTTAAATTAAGATTTACTCTTTATTCATATACGTCTCATACAAGTCACCGTCTCTGATTAATATACTGGAGCATCTGGAAATAAATGATGTGTAAATGTTTCACTTCTCGGGTCGTTATATACAAATATCTATTAGAGAATATATGCAATTATGAGCGAATAACTGAGTCTAATTTCGTTGTTCTTGCACCTAAATTTATACCCGTAAACTGCGCGAAACGTACTTTTTTGAAAACTTGAAATATTTTTTGGATCCCAATGTCTACCCATTCGAACTACAAATTTTTGGGATTTTTTGTAGAGTAAGGGTTGGGAATGCAGATTGCACTAGAAATTCAAATTTTCCAATCATTCCGAAACTTATTCCTAATCTGATACTTACCAATTACTCATCGATCTTGATCGGTAAGTATGTTGATAGGTATTTGTCTGTTTGATTGTCTGATAGATGCACGCGATATCTCACGAGAGCGAGGCTGAATCTGCTCCAAATTTTGCATGTGCATTCACCATATCTCGAACCAAAAGCCTATTGATTTTGAATGAATTATTTTGTATACTTAGCGAGTTATTATTTGATTAGTGATGGGACACGCGGTGTCACTATAGAGTCATGAAGCGAAATCGCAGTTTCGATCGATAAGTCTTCGGTCTCCGATCGATATTCTCGTTTGTTATTTTAAAACGTGACGCGGGTGCTTTCCCAAATCTCACATTTTTGCATTAGCGGCGGGGCTTTTAACAAAAGATCCCAGATTTGTTATTCTCTTGACTTTGAGCCCGGTTTCGGATCAATTAATTGGTGGAACCGAGTATTCAGATTCAGACATTTTCGCCATGCAAGAATCAATGTAGAACAAAACAACAAGAACGTTCTAGTCCATAACCTGCGTTGGATGATTATCAGAGTAATCAACGCGAAGTCATCGAGGTCTTATCGGTCAGCTTGCCGTGTGTGTGTTATAAGGTTGCGCTTATTCACAGCATTTGGTTTTGTTACTTATTGATTTTAATCGGTAAGTATGTTGATAGGTATTTGTCTGTAAGTATGAATGCCTGTCTGTCTGTCTGTTAGATGCACGCGATATCTCACGAAAGAGAGATTGACTCTGCTCCAGATTTTGCATGTCCGTTTATCATATTTCGGACCAGAAGCCTTTTGATTTTGGGAGAATTATGTCTCATAATTAGCGAGTTATTAATTAATTAGTGATGGGACACAAGGTGTCATTATGGAGTAAGAGCGCTGTCTTGGGGGGATCCCCTAACTTTCGATCGATAAGTCTTCGGTCTCTGACCGATATTCTCGTTCAAACATTGAGACGATATCCTAGCCACTGTAAATAAATAAATGAAAAACACCGTAACGCAAATATAACACTCAATTTTGACGTCTTTGTTTGTTAGCGAAAACTGTGTGCAGATTCTCGCGTAGTCGTCAGAAAGCCATAAGTGCGTTGTGTAATGATTGATTCTTTGTTTCATGTCTCATGTTAACAGATATTCGTATAGTAAACTGCAATTTTTATATTCGACTTGATATTTTGCCAGCGCTACTCAGTAACTATAAACGAGATAGCGATCGGAGACCGCCGACTTATCGATCTTCCGCATGTTCAATATTTTACTCATCAAAAAAATAAAAATATATATATATATATATATATATATACAGGGTGTCTCAAGTAGGCAAGCATACATTTTTACTTTTGATTTTCTTTTCAGGTACTCATCATAGAGCGTTCATTTTTTCATGAAAGATAGTATGGATAACTAGTAAAATTTAGGTATTGTTAGCATTTTTCATCAACCCACAGAATGACAGAAGATTAACCCAAAAAATGAGATGCAAAATTACTGTTTGGCAAAAAGCATATAAATCAGTATAAAAACTCAATTTTGCACCTCATTTCTTGGGTTATTCTCCTTGTCAATCTATGGATTGATGAAAAATGCAAGCACTACCTAAATTTTACTACTTATCCATGCTATGTTTCCTGAAGAAATGAAAGCTCTACGATGAGTAGGCTACCTGAAAAGCAAACCAAAATTAAAAGTGTATACTCACTTTTGAGACACTCTGTATATATATATATTGGCTCCGGTATTTGCCCAATAGCGACACCACGTGTCCCATCACTAATTGATTAATAACCACGAAGTCCACAAAGTCGCGCGTCTTTGAAACGTGGTTAAGAAGATGCTTTAGCCCAATGTGCGCTCTACGGAGAAAGTTATTACTTATCGATTTTAATCGGTAAGTATGTTGATAGGTATTTGTCTGTATGACTGTCTGTTAGATGCACGCGATATCTCACGAAAGCGAGATTGAATCTGCTCCAGATTTTGCGCGTGCATTCATCATATGTCGGTCCAGAAGCCTATTGATTTTGGATAAATTATGTCGTATAATTAGCGAGGTATTAATTAATTAGTGATGGGACACAAGGTGTCACTATGGTGTAAGAGCGCTGTTTCGGGAATCCCCTAATTTTCGATCGATAAGTCTTCGGTCTCTGACCGATATTCTCGTTCAAATTGCGATTGGGACCATATAACAAATTCCACACCTAACTGAGAACTGTCACCACGCTCAAAAACTATGGAGTAACAGGCCATGCTTGCATAGTTCAATATTCTCGATCAAAAAATATCAATATGGCTGGAAAATTTGACTGTTAATTCTATACGTGAGCTCATTTATATGAGAAGCTCAAGCCAAAAATAATTGCGTGGTTATCATTTATGTTGTCTTCCAAAAAAATAGCGTTTTGACTGTTGTCCACTGTTTTTCAATGTGCGCCTGAGAAAGACGGTACGAATTTATAAAGTTTACAAAATGGCGCGTCTTAAAACGCCGTTAACAACCGTGCTTTAGTCCAATGCGCTCTTTACGGAGGGGGCTATTCAAATTGTGATTTGGACCATGCAACAAATCCTTTCCCTAACTGGCGCCACGATAAAAAAAAAACGGCAGAACGAGCCACGCTGGTGGTTCATTATTCTCGATCAAATTAATAGAAAATATCATATGACTGGAAAATTTATTAAAGAAAAAGAAATCGTAAGAGATCAATAAATAAATTACACGAAAAAGAAAACTCACAAAGTGTAAATAAATGTAAATGTACAGCATGAACTCAAGGAAAAATGAGATTTACGAATATAATCATAACAACATATCCCGACCTATTTTAATTTCTAGCTTTTGTTAAAATGATCGCTCAAGGTATTTAATCATAACAAGCTCCAGTCTATAGATATACGAAGTGAGAAAGAGTGTCAATGTCGTTTTAACGTTCTCCCCTTTCTGTCTATATGACAAACATAACAATCACTCTGATGTATTTTATGACATCATTGTCTTTCGATTATATCGGGTGAATCGCTCTAATAGCAGAATTTTTGTGAAAAATGTTATTCAAGTATTCGTCTGTTTACTATTGATAAATATAAAATAATTTATAATAGATATTGGTTTTGGGCATAGAGCAATACGAGTACAATATAGTAAAATTTAGGCTTTTTAAAATTGTCCACGCCAGTCATTTCTCAGATCTAGAAATCTTGCTTGACATGGTTGCGGCCATACTTATCTGTAGCAAGTATATGTATTTAGCAAGACGTAGTCAGTTTGTCTTTGTACTAGTTGTCAGACATTTCTTAGATTTAGAAAAATGGGCCCCGTGATATGACAGTTTGAGAGTCGTTGTCGGACCGGTCTCCTGCGTGAAACAGCTCCCTCTATGTTTGCTTGGATTGACTAATGTCTTATTCAGAGAGATTGATCGAGTCTGAGTCTTGTAGATTAGAGATATAAACGTAGCACAGTGGTATCATTGTGTAAGGCCTGTTAATCCATTAGAAGTTAAAGTCTTTGGCGTCATTCTTTTATCCCACTGAGATATAACGTGAAGGATGAACACGTTTTTCCCAAAAATTGTTGCCTGGTTAGTAGTTTTCTATCTTTCCTTGTTTATCTTCAAATTTCTGGGAGTTTGCAACCGATTGGCAAGAAACAGCGTCTTCAAGTTTACCCTGGAATCTGGATAAGGATTCCATTGCCTGGTGCCGATCTTGGGCATTCAAAGAAGTAGTAGAGGGGCAGCCACTGACTCGGTGGCGATTGAGAAGGGAAATTCTCGAGAAGGTTCTGTCGCATGATGTACAAGCGTAACGTTTTACACTTTCGTGTGTTTGCATGTGAGCTCGAAGGTTCGATCGATCAGCAAATGCTCGAGAACACACTGTACACTGGTATGGTTTTTCTCCTGAAATTAGAATTATAAGAAATTAATGAATGGATTCATCAAAAATTGCACAAGTAGACTGAAGTTTGGACAACTTATAATTTGTATTTTGTTGAACTTATATTTTATAAACCTGGACAATTGTATCTGTGTAGCAAACGTGTTTTTTTATGTTCCAATTTTAAACGGCTTGTTTTATGAATATATTATTTTATATTTATGATAAAATATTAAAATTTTTCAGCATGAAAGCTATATCAAGGGAATTTAGTCCATAATCTGTCAGAAATGATGAACTGCTTAAAATGATTCCACGAAAAATGTGAACGAATAACAACGGATAATAGCGTTATAAAACTTTCGGTGGAGTACCACCGCCATAAATTGGTAAAATGTGTACTGAATTTAGTAATATTGAACATGACGAACCTGTGTGGGTGCGGATATGTCCTTGTAAAAGCCAAGTTCTGGAAAAGGCTTTTCCGCAAATGTGGCATTTACATGGAAGGGTGTGTGTTCTGATATGCATCTTCAGCGCTCCAAGTGAATTGTATTCTTTTTCGCAAGTCTGAATAGATAGATTGAATGAATGTTAGTAGAAAATTTGTGGCAAAAGTTCAGTAGTTTAACAGAATTTCACATTTTCAATCCAAGCTATGTTCTTTTCACACACCTTAGAGAAGATACAGATATACTATTTAAAAATATAGTTCAGTTCAATAAACAATAACCTATTACTTTCGGTAATCTGAAAGAAGTGGAATTTTTCTCGTCTCGGCACAGACCATCATTTTATTTAATATACCCTAAGCTAAGATGATTTGGTCCGAGAAGCTTGGGTCCGAGGTGTATATTAACCTAAAACGCGCCGACATAGGGCAAACGCTTAGTTAGAACGCGATTAATTTATTATGCAATATCTAAAATAAATCGTTCAAATAATAGAGAAATTCACTAACCACGCATTTGAAATTGTTTGATGACTCTGTTTCTTGGTGAGTTTTTGAATGTTTGAGGAAACCTCCAACTGTAGCATAAGTTCTGCCACATTCTTTGCATGGGAAGCGACATGGTTTGAAATCAATGGGTCTTGCAACCATTTTGTTGTTTTCAATCTGCTGGGTGTTCTGTGTAAAGAAAATAAAAGAATAAATACTTGCAATATATGTTCTTCTGCCTTTAAGGTTACATATCTAAATGTGGGCAGAAGGCAGGAGAGAAAAGGGGGAGAGTGTTAAGGAATGTTATACCAAAACGAGAGAAAGCAAAGGGAAAATAAAGAAAGAAGGGACGAATAAGATATTGTTTCGCAACAAAGGTCAATTAATAAGAAAAAGGGAGATATTATAGAACAATCGCATAACCAATATTAAATATAACGACTCACATCGATAACTAGGAAACAATAAATCAAAATCTATAAAATGGGATACATATATCAGAAATGATACTATCACTTTCTAACAGGTATATTCGTATGCTTCCATAAGATCTAACTTCTCTACACAAAACAGGATAAAACTTAATTAAACACCACATAATCAAACGCTTACAAATATTCTTGCTATATAGTATACCTATTTATCACTTCAATACTGTCTCACTTAAGCACTTGTGACATGATTGAGATTTGTGGCAAGTAGGAAAGAGGAGATATGACTTGTAGTTCAATACGCAATATCATAATACAACTTACAATAATTGAGGTAGTGTTGAAGATATTATGCACCATGGTAGGTGGGGAATCAAGTCTATCCATTGTGTTGTCAAACATTCCGTTTTTGTAGTCCTGTCGAATCCGTTTTCCAACCGGAACGGAAGTCAGGCTATCAGTCGATCTTGGTGATATTTCTGAAAAGTTAAGTTGCTTAATTTAATAAACGTAAGCATTATATTGCATACATGTTTTATATAAAAATGATCTTAATGTGAGATAGTTTATAGATGGCGATGAAGCTTACAGAAAGAAGACTGTTGTATTGTAAGCAATAATAGGTTTCTCTTCGCAACAAAGATGTTAGCATTATAGTTCATATCTGTTTTTCAATTAGGAATTAAATGACTTTTTTATGAAATTAATTTATAGATTCCAGGTACGCAACTGAAGTTATAAAAAGTACTGATAGAGGAGTTGCAAACAACAACAGTTGCTTTGAAATCTATATACAGATTTAACCTCACGACGAAAATAAAAGTAAGAAGTTTTGGATGCAAACATGGAACATTTTGAGAGAACCATACTACGAGAACAGCTGGGCTAATGCCCAAATAGACATGCAATTTTAAAATACTGTGTACAGCTGGTAATCAATTTGTGTGAATATATTTTAGTTAAAAACTCCATGAATTACCACTGGTTTTTGTTTGGGTTTGCAAAGTCTCCTCTAATTTTCGTTTTCTTGAAATCGCGATATCTGGCGATGTTCTTTCCTTTTTAATAAATACTCCGTTATCTCTCGCGTATTGTTGGTGATGATTTTCTACTCGGCTACACTTTTTCGATTTTGCCGAGATTGGAGACGTTTCAGTCCGGCTAACTGAGTTTGATGTGTCTCTTCCTTGGTTGGAATTCTGAGCTTGGCTACAGATACGTGTAAATTCAGCAAACATGTTATGTCCATAAATGTGCTGTAATGCTTCTTTTGAATTTGTGAGTGGAGACGATGCAATTGATGAAGTGGGAAATGAATAAGGCCAAGCAATCGATGGAGAAAAATGTCTCGCAGCCTGGCTCATGAAAAATGCAGGATTCCATAAACTTGGGACACTGGTGCTCAAAAAGGGAACAGTTCCATTTGTTGGTGCATATGTCCACGGAACAAAACTAGAACCGAACGTATTTGGGATTGCACTTATAGGTGGACTGTTAGAATGGGTGTTGTTGCCTGAACCAATCTTAAACACATTTTCTGTATTCTGGTTTGAATTCGGAGATCTACTCTCATCGATGACCAGTTCCGAACTTTCGCGTCGGGACTGGGTTAATTCTTTTTTTTGCGATTTCGAATCAAAACGCTCAGAAATATTTTTCGACTTTTTTATAGTTAGGTCGAGCGGCTGGTCAAAATGATCACTGATTCCATGCTTCAGTCTTTCCATAGAAGGAACGAAAAGAACCCTTTTGCAAATGTCTTGGTCCACCGTCATGTCGACACCCTCGTCCACACTAGACCCTGTCCCGGAATGAGCTGAAGTTGACGATGGCGAGGTAATATTAGGTGAACTTTCAGCGCTGAGTAAGCTGTCTTCCTCGTTGCTTATGCGAGAATAAGTGTCGCCATATGTTGATGAAATAACTGAAATACCAAAAAAAAATAATGTAAATTGTTGTGTACAGAGATAATCTAACACATTTTTGATTAGGGATCTTTGCCGATCATAGAACTTAAAAAAATTAAAAATCTGAATTTTGTTTCATTTTTACTTTGTTTACTTACATTAGTTAACTTTCTAACTTTAATTTTAAACGCTTAGTTGTTTAATCAGTTATATCTTTCAAAGTGGCGTAGTGGACTATAAGGACAAACACTAATAAGTATAATATATAATATATATATTCTATGCAAATTAAACCAATGCATCGCTATTCAAATAGCGGTATTACGTTACAATATGAGTTCATATTAATACACGGGGCGGTCGCTTTCGAAACGATGCACCCGCTGTGCGTAATTAACATTCCAAATATGTGACGTCATAATTTCCTTTAGTGTCGCAGGGGTATCGTATGCTACGCCAGCCGCTGTATGACGATGCCTCTATTAATGTCTAGATATGCCATGGCACCTGTCTCACTTTAAATTTAGATGCTACACAGGCCACGCATGTCGCCGCTTTGCCTACATATGGTAGCAGGTCGTTTCTTTTGAGACCGAGTTATATTTAATCGCCGAGATTAGTTTGATCGTTCCACAATGTTTGCGTACAAGCTCTTAACAAATAGATTATAAACTCGATACCACAAAGAAAGCTTTCCAAAGAACAACAAATTTGCAATATATTTGAACTCGCGATGCAAGAATCGGTATCGCAAACCTAAAGAGAGTGATGTTATATTAATTATACATTCGCTATTTTATTTTTAAAAATAATGGGAATTAACAAATGTGTCTTTGTTGCTGTGTTGTGTTATTACTCAAACAATATTAGGAAATGTGAACATTTACATATGATGATTTGGTTTCTGCGGGATTACGTTAACATAGTTGAATTATGCATGTCTGAGGAAGTTTGACCCTGGCCATGCTAATCGTTACATAAATACATTTGTGATAGTGCGTGAGACTCTTGGATCACTTAGAATATTTACAACTGTTATGGAGTTTTCTATTGATGGCGAAGTCGTATATTCAAAATCGTTAGGGATAGAACCGGAATTCAAACTACGGGCAAACATTTTCTGGTTGAATAGTGGATCGTGATCCAAAATTTGACTTCGCAATCAAATCAAATTTTTTTTTACTGTAAAGCTCATACAAAAAATAAAAAGGTTGATAAACATAACATAAAACGCGACAAATGTACGGCATTTATTTTAATGAAACATCAAGGCAGATGATTATTACACTTGGCGCACAGGAAATCATAGTGACGTGAAACATTTGTTGGTGGACAACTTGGCTATTCTTTTCAATTATACACTGGCAATATTAGGCCGTTTGTTTTACGCTATGAATGAAGAACGTCCATCACTTGATCTTACTTGATAAAAACCAGTGCTTACTAGGAAATAGCTGAATAAGATAAATGAAATCATCCCACTGCCTTTTCCCATACGTAAATGGGCACTTTGTCACTATAACGATATTTCAATTTTGAATTTATCTTTTATACCGATTGAATTATATAATTAGGAAGTTTATCATGATAATTATAGAGATAAAATGAGTCCTCAGATTATCATTAATAGAAGCCCAAGTACGATTATTAGCGATCGTCTGATTTGAAGTTTTGTTTTGAATTCGGACGCAGTACCCACTTCATGTTTATATCGGAACTTATTAATTAATATGGTTTTGTAAATAAATTTGGCGCTGCCTAAAGTTTGCTTGTCACCTGTGAACTACGCTTTTGCCAGATTTCATAAAATATCGGTCGATGAATTAATTTTATTTATACTTATTCTTACGCTGACTGCGTCAAATATGTCTTATACGAGTAGACCCATAAAAACACTTCTTTGGTTAAACTATATTCGTAAGTATCAAGCAATATATGCAAAACTTTACATACCTTTGTCCTCGAAGATCATTCTCGTTGGTTTTTTTTCAAATTTCAGTGTTGAAAGTAGTAATAAAATTGAAGATATTTCCAAGAGAATAATATGAGATATATATGTAATCTTATAATATATTCTAAGTATCAAAAATGAAAAATAAAATGTGTTCAATTTTCTATTCCCGTTCCAAAATGTCGGTTTTAAGGAATTTTCGTCTAATACTTGATGTGGGAGTTTCTATTCCTTATGATTTCTTAAATAAATAAAATTTCCACTCTCAAAATTATTTCATAAGAACTCTATTAAACTTCCTTCTACCTCACAGTTTCCCCGCCAGAGTTGACTTAAATTATTTCAAATCTCAACTTTTTCCATTGTCCCCAAATAAATAAAATTAGATCTTTAATGGTCGCCCAAATCTCTACTCTTTCCACTTTATCATATGTCTCGATACTTTTGCTTTGACCAAATTTAAATATAAATAACCTCATGACTGATTATATATATAGCTTTATTTTGTTGGTCATATTTCGACTAACTTCCATAAGTTTCGCCTGCTACCACTATTAACTATTATATTAACTTTCAAAATTAAAACGTTTATTCTCTGATACACGCTAACTAAGATTGAAACTAGATCTCATGGATTCCAATGATCGTTCACGTCTCAAAACAAACTGTGTGCTTCTCTCCTTCGCAATGCATGTAAAGCATACCACATGCATACGCGTCTTTCACCTGTCCTCCGTCGGGAATGCACACGCTAAGTGACAGCATATCTAAATATAGGGTGAAAAGAAGCGTTCTGATTGCTTTTTGTTTGTTACTTATATGCTCATTTGTCACCTTTCCGTGACGCAAACTCCACGGGATGCCGCAGACATTTTCCTCTACACAGCGGGTAGCGTACAGCAGGTTCACGTTCATTGATAAGCAAATAAAATTGCCGCCCCTGCCACGCGTGATATGTCTGGATATTGTCTGCGCAATTCGTAAATAAACAAACAAGAATTGAAATACTTAGCAAATAATATAATTTATCGAGTTAATTTTAGTTTTTGGAGAATGCTTAAGTTGAATTAAATTTAATTGGATTAAAAGACGCGATGAATTAGATCTGGCCACGAAAAATGATCCCCGCAAAACCAAAAGAACGATATAAATGCACTGAAACTCAAGGGTAAAGTAAACTAATACCAAATATTATTTTTATATTAGAATAAAAATAATATTTAGTTTTGAAGTCATTTAGGTGTTCCCAGACCAAATATTCTTTAAATGTAAGGTTTTGTCTTACCGATAACCTGGACAATGTATATTACTATTATATTGGTTGATTAAACTACAGAACTATATTGTTTTAGTATGTGGAGCCATTTTTGATATATTTGAACGTATGTTAAAGCCACAAATGTATTACTGCCAGCGAATATTTGCATATACGTAATGTGTCTCGTTTTCAGGCGTTATCTGTAAACAAACAAAATAAAACAAAATCTGTGGTTCAGACGACATATTTTTGTGTTTGTACAGCATAACTTTTGGAGCACTTGTTAAACGTCACAAATTTAATATCTCCATCGAATATTTGCATTCGAAATATGTCTCGAACTTATCCTAAACGCGTTATCCGTAAACAAACAAAAAAAATTACAGTAATGCCAAAGATAAACAACACGTAGCGTATTATTGACTATAACTCTTTGCATGTTTGATTAAGGACTTAATGTAACTACTTCGAGATAATTAGATTGATATTTGGGAAAAAAGTGGGAAAAACTGAGAATTTGGTGTCACAAATATCGTCTTAACGCTCTATATTACACTAACAATTGCAATAATGTATAAATTATAATAATAGGACCGATTATTCTCGATTCGGTATTGAAACATTAAACCACTCATATAGGCTCGCAATGATTTAAGCCAATATTCAAATTTCAGACAAAGAAATGATGAATAATAATGCTGAAACGTGGTTCCACAAGTATTGCCGTTAATGCACTATGTTACACTAACGATTGTATTATTGTATATATTCCGCAATTAAAGCGATTTTCAGTGCTGTATCCGAACAGTGAACCACTTTGTCAAACATTCAACACGAAGGCTCTACTTGATTTCTAATACTAATATTGAACGGGAATGAACAGCATTACATAACCTATAACCTTCTTAGATCTATAGGGTGTCCATAATGTTTTAAAAATAATTTAAAACTTCGAAATGGGAATTTATCGATACCATATATTGTTCAGCCCTTACAGATGTGAGATAAAAGGTAAAGTAAAAATACTTAAACAATTACTGATTCAAAACCATAATTGGAATTGTAGGGGGCTTGAATGCAATCTGTATTATTCTATTAAGTCAACTTGACATTTACACTAATCGACTAAGGCAACGTTTCCAATTAGTAAATTAAATATCAAACTAGAGCAGCCTTGACTCTGTAATCCAATATATAACTTAACTAATAAATCGAAATCTAAAGTTTAGTCTCGCTGAACTTGTAAAGCTCAACTAAACGTTCCAAATGTGCTATGATATGAATATTTTTTCTGGAATTACTATAAGAGTTAAAATACGATATTCCTATTCTAATATACTGGTGAATATCTAATAACACACTATCTCGCTCTAAATTAATACTCCTGTAACCAGTGCGACTCTATCAGATATAAGTATAATAATATATAAACATATTTAAGATATTCTTAAGTTTTTAATATATGTGTTGCTTACTCTGCTATGATAACTGAGTTAATGATGTCAATTAAAACTTTCAACTCAATTTTATATGAAAAATTACGCACCTTACGTATTTCGTCGGTTGAAATATCACAGCACAGGATGTGCGAAGACTAGATCATGCGTCACAATGTATCACCGACTGTGTCAGTGTTACGACACAATATCCCACAGCGCATTTCCCTCCCCACATGCGCACAACTACACCTCAAGGGTGCAGACACGAAAAGTGCGACACCTCAACATAACGTGGTCTAGATCCCACGATGCGGGTGCTAAATGGCGATTGGTAGTTGCATACAAAAATTGTAGTTATAATAAATAAACTAAAAGTGAGGAAATATAATAGGGCGAAAAGTTTTCCCAACTGTTTGCACCACTGAATAGGCAATTCAAATCTGCCGAGTATGGCCCGTACTTCGTATTTTACGATTTTCTCACTCCGTCTCTGACAATCAAAAAACAACGCAAACTTATTGGCATTTATCGCAATAACTGAAGCAGTTGTTATTCTTTTGGTGTCGATTGAAGCAATTTTTAGTGGATTAATTTTTGATGAGTTACCGGTGTACAATCCAATTTCTTTGGGCTATGTTTATCGGTACTCCCGTAGTGTGTGTACCAGGTTAGGGTTAGGCCATAATTTTATTCCGATTTTCCTCATTTTAGTTATATTACGAGTTCGGTGACTGTCTGTGTTAGCCATGCGAATGTATACCCCCTGTCCATAGGTTTCAATCTCTTTACACAACATGATATAAAGTAGGCAAACAAAATTAGTTACCTCCGTATTGGTACATACACTGAAGCACCGTTTATTGACAGTCACGTTATTGCAGAAAATAAAACACACTTTCATTGGGGCCCCATTTTCCTTGTTTTATTCTGCGCTGGTAGATCACGCTTATAATTCAATGATGCTATAGCAAGAAATAAAAAGCAATGAAAAGCATCTTTTTAGTACCTCGTTCTGATGAACACTCATAAAAACTGATAATCTCTTTTGTAAAAACAATATTTCAATTTCCAGAAATAAATAGTGATATTTTAAAGCGTAATTATTCTGTAAGTTTAAATCGAAATTCTGTACTCTCTGGATTTAACATCTATAGAAACTTTCACGAGTTACGAACGCAAAAAAATGTGCAACCCTAAATGAAAATGAAAAAACATGTTCCTAATCACTTAAAAAGATGAATGTCAGGTGATATTATCATCGCTATCAGAAGTTTGTATTTTTCACATATTCAATCAATTTTCCTAAATTTAGGTGAAAAGTGGTTTGAAAGTCTGAAATCTGAAAGTGTTGAAAGTAGATTTGCTTTTACTAATAATCTAATCACAGCGATAAGATAACAAAACAAGAAATTGTAGATCAACTAATATAGATAAATTAATAATTAAAATCATCGTTCTTCCGGCACGCGCCAGACATTGGCGACATTTGTTATCAGTATCTATTTGGGAAAAGCTCCCGCAGTTAGCGACGGGCAGGAAATACCCAATGTAAGTACGAACAATCACAGTATGGGATGCATATATCTCCGAGCTTTGTCCGAATAAGTGAATAAAAAGTGGACACAATGTCGAACTGTTGGCCAAAAAGAATATAACACAACTGTATAATTTAGTTTTCCTAATGAATTTAAGAGATAACAAAACTGTATATTTTAGTTATCTTAACGAATTTAAGAGATTTTGATGTACACTGAACACAAATCTATTTTCAAAACGTTTTATATGACGAAAGTTAGACTATCTGAGACAAATAAATGATTCACAGACATTTTGGCCCATAAGACGGTTTTAGTTATGGTTTTCAGTTGCTTTAGTTCTTAAAAAACAATGAATCTGAAACAAATAACTGACCAACTCATTCCATACCCGACATGGACTGATAGCCCGACGAGAGGCCGTCGTTCGTTCGCCTTTGATTAAGCCGTCTTATCGGCTTTTCTCTCTCCCGGGATAAATATGTAAATTCTATCTTAACATGATTGAACTATGACAAGAAAACGAATTGCGTTCAAGGCTCTTAATTATTTCTTGAGAATTATTTTAGGTCGGCTAGCATCGCTGATGACTACCTCCGATAAAAGTTTATATTACTTAACATTAACTGACATACATTTTAAATCAAAGAAGACTTATTTAATGCGTTTAACCCGACTTCGGTCAGATGGGGCAATACAGAAATACATTTGAGGTAGTGTGCAATAGGAGTCGCTCCCGTAGTATGTGCACCAAGATGTCGGACACCGGAACGTAGCATATGTAGCAGGGTTAGAACACAATTTATTCTAAGTTTCTTTATTTTAGTTCTATTGCGAGTTCGGGGACTAGCCAAGTGACTCCAGTAATATTTGTACCTGAAATTATTGCCTAACACTAACATGGTACGCATACTACGTTCCGGTGTCCGACATCTTGGTGCACTGGTGCACATACTACATGAGGACCCAGTAAGGCTTTAGAAATGCATAGGGTAATTTT